TCATTTTTGTGAGTATAATTTTATCTATGAATATATTAAATAATAGGTAGCTTATTATTTTAGTTTTTTTTTTTTTTATATTATAGAGTCACTAAAATAGAAATTGTTGTATTATGTTGAAGAATTGGCATGTAGTCTCTTGAAACTTGACTAATGGTCAGCACAAGAAATTATTGAAATTTAAAAAGAGTTAAGTTACAAAGAATGTGTTTAAATATTTTTATATTAAGTTTAAAATTTATAATTATTCAATACTTGACTACAGACTATAAAGGGAGTTAATTACTATTTGGATGTATATGTTTCACTCTTGTTGAGGCGATTATGATTCAAGAGATAGAATGTGTAAATAATTTGAAGCTAAAACTCGTTTCTTTTACATGAGCATTTGTTTATTTTTTACTTAAGTTTTCATCATTATACTGATATGTAGGGGGTGTCTATTAGATTAGATAAACTAATAAACCCAATGATCCAAACCAATTTAAATCAAAAAATGATCTAAACTGATACTTGAAGGGTCTGATATAATACAAACTGATCAAATCTGACGTGGTTTGGTTTGGATAACAGGTTGGCACAAGTCAACCCATAGACTTAATGACATATCCGATTAATTTGTTGACTTACGTTGATTTAAAAAAAAAAAAAAAAAACACCTTTACCTACAATAAAGTGTGTTTTGAATTGAAACGTATTTTGAATTTGTGTATTTGTGTTGAAATGTTGTATAATTACGTTGAAATTATGTGTCAAGAATTATTCGAATAAAAAAATTAACATTTTTTATATTTTTTATACATTTTTTATTTTGGGTTATTTAATCAGACAATCTGATAATCCAAACTAAACCAACCCGTTCGTATTTAATTTGGATTTTTAATTTTTTTTTGCACAAATCCAAACCAAACTAAATCAATCCATTTTGATCGGTTCAAATTATTTTTTTCTCCAAATCTGAACTAAACTGACCCGTGGACATCCCTAGTGATATGAGCTATTAGATTAAGATTGCATACCAATAGGTTTATTGGGTGTAATATAATGTTTAAAAGATAGGATCAGTAATTTAACCTTTCAATTTTGTAGCTATACCTTTTATTTGTTGTAAACTTTAACATGTATATTGTGTTTTTGATTGAAGAGACAAGTTTTTTGAATGTTTGTCTTCGTTGAAAGAATTATTAACTTAATATATTCAAGGTTCTTATGAGAGGTGATTTAGTGTTACTTTTGTATTACTTCATATCAATAATTAATAATGCTATGAGCATTCATGTAAGAGAAGTAGAAATATATATTGTGCAATCTAAGAACAATGTTAGGAAGGGATAATGAAATTTCAAATGTTACGAATAAGAAGAAAGGATGTAAAGAAACAATATGAAATTAATAATGATGATATATATTAGTAAGAATATATCTTTAAAGAAGTTTTTCTTAAAAAAGTTTAAACATAAATATAATATAGCTTTAGATAAAAAAATTATATCAATTTTAAATATGACGTGAACAAGCTTTACAAAATTGATTACTCTTTAAGTATGTAAAAGGAAAGAAAACCATTTTATCACAAATATAATTCTAATAAGGACAAGGCCTTCAGAATTAAAGTTAGCATAGAGTTTCATTTTATAGAGTAATTTAAAGGAGTTTGTAGAACACCAATGGATGAGAATTGAGTTTAAAAAATGATAAAATCAAGTGTACGGAAGTGCTAAAGGAAGGGATTATTATCATATAGGTAGGTTAAAGACATTTAAGACAAACATATTTATGTAAAATATACCAGAAAAAATGACAAATTAACATTGAATTGCATATAAGTCTATACTAGAATTCCTTTAAAATGAAAATTTAGATTTAAATCCCATATATAAAAAAAAAACTATTAAACATTATACTGTACATATTTTTAGTTTAAAAATATTTTTTCTTTAAAAAAATACATGTGGTCTATAAATAAAATAAAATCTAATTGGGACAACAGGGATCGATGAGAACAACAGGTCCATGTCGAGGATAGCAATGATGGGATTGGGGTTTTTATAATGAAAATGGGAGTGGGGAAACTCTAAGACATGATAGAGTATTCTTCTATACTATGTTTGTTGTCACGTCAACTTTGATTGAACCTTGAGATGTCCGGATTGATCAGCCGAAAACGTCAATAATATATTATACGCCACCTCATTCTCCAACCTCCCTAAGCCCATTTGATCATTTCATGAAGATTCCTCTGCATTTTTACAATAATAGAGAATTCAATAACAATAAATAAAAGGTAATATAATAAATATTATAATATAATAAAAAATAAAAGATATTAAATACGTGTTGATACTATTAAAATGTTTACTCACAATTTATGAGCACCCAGGATTTGGAGAAGAGTCATAAACAATCCCAGCCAATTGTGCAGTTGAAAGGCCTGTTGCATTTTCAATTCGTCCGCCAAGTGGGAAGTCAAAATCCTGCATCCTATTTTTTAAAAAAGCTATTAATTTATATTTTTTCTAACGCGTTGTTATTTATTAATTAAAAATTATGTTACCCTTACTTTTAATTTAATATTTTTTATTCATATTTTATTATTTTTAATATTTTTTAATTATTAAAATATATTTTAAAAATATATTAGAGTATATTTTTAGTATTTTTTTGACAAAATTACTATTTTTATCCTCTAATTTTTTTATTCATTTTAATTTTCTAACTTTTTAAAAAGTTTCAAATAAGTCATTTTTCATTAAAAATCTAAATTTTATTATAAAGTTTGGTCTTTTTGTTCCATACCGTGCGATATGGTTCATCGTCTTTTTCTACAGATCTTTGATTTTGATTTTAGTACCTTTTTTTCTTCCTTCTCCCTTACATCTTTATCTTTTTATATTCAAAATTTCATCTTTTTATCACTAACATCAAGCACTCACTCTTAAATCTCAAATCATAAACAAATCAACTTTCTAAATGCTCATTTTTTAATCTATGTTAAAGAAGGTAAGATGTACTAATGCAACGGTTTCCTCCTAAGTTTGTGGTCTCCTCTTACAGGCTCAAAGTGCTCTCGATTACTCAAGGGGTTGAATGAATAAGAATAAATAATGAATTTACAGTTATCTATCAAAATTTGTAGTGACTTGTTCTTTTGTGTGAACCAACAAGATATGGAAAGGATGATGAATAAGTACAAAAAAAGAAGAAAGATGAGCTTTTTTATTTTGGTTTTGTAGCACATTGCAGAGGTTACCTTGAGGACTATTTGCCATAAATATATATATCAGAAACTACGTAATCACTTGGCATGCATAGTTGAAGAGAAAAGAGCTAATGGGAAAAGGTAATTTTCTAAATGCAATCAAGGCCATTGAAAAGGCAGCATCTAATAGAGCTAAGTTTGTATTGAAAAATACAGTTTTAACTATTTTGTCGTCAAAATTCAATATTCACTATACTAAGTATTTGGCCTTCACATATTAAATTTACAATAGAAAGAGAATGTTCCATACTTCTTAATCAGCCATTTTAAACTCGAGGCAATGAGTGTAACTGGACAAAAATAAATTTGAGTCAAAGGCTTTAAAAAACTTTTGAGTCAAAGGCTTCAAAAAATTAGTTTTGAAGACAACGAAGTTAAAGTTTTTAATAAAAAAGAATTTATCTGAAACTTTTTAAAAAATTAGAAGAATAAAATAAATTAAAAAAAATTAGATGACGAAATAAATTTTATTATAAAATTAAGGGACAAAAATAATAATTTTATCTTTTTTTTTAAAATGAAATGAATATAACTTAGAAAGAGAAAGACAGATTCCATGGACAAATCATAAAACTATAAAAAGAAAAAAGAAGGCAAAGCTTGATGCAACGGTTGAATTACGAGACCGGCATTGGAGTCTATAGAATTGGGGATGGTGATTACCTTTAAAACGAAGCTGTTGTTATTTTTGGGTCCATAGCAAAACGATGCCATTTTTGGGTCAACAAAACAAAAGAGCGAGGGAGGTTTCAATAGCTTTATTCCTGTTATTATCAAAAGGGGTTTGTCCGTAATTAAAAGTGGGCCAATAATTTAATGGAGTTTAACAGAAGCGAGGCCCATCAGCACTCTGGCAATATGGGATTGCCAACCCATGTTTTCTACCAGCAATATTAATGGTTGACTCAAAAAAAAAAAAGCAATGTTAATGGTAAATATAGGGTAATTTCTTTTTTTAAAATAATTAAATAAGAATACTTTTAATTTTAATTTACTAAATTTTAAAAGTAAACACATGCCCGTTTATTTATTTTAAATAATTAAATAAGAATGAATTTTAATCACAAATTAGTCATTAATCCTTAAAATTATAAAAAAAATTAATCTCTTAAATTGTTAACAATCTATCATTTTAGTTATTCTCATTGATAGGTTAAATTCATCTAACATGATAGAATAGGAATCATTTTGGTATACACATAGTATAAAATTTAACAAATAAATTTAATATTTTAACATAAAACTCATAAAAATTATGAAATTACCTTAAATATTATACTAAAATAGTAAATCAACAAAAATAATAATAATAATAATAATAATAATAGTAATAATAGTCTCATATGTAAACGAATTTTCAGATGAAGCTGAAGTAAAAAGCAAAACTCCATGCAGTGTAGGCATTAACAAAAGAGAATAACGTTTTTTTTTTTTTATTTTAAAAACTAAATTAACTTATATCTATAAATTAAGAATTAAAATAACATTATCGAAATATAGTTAAATTTTTAGCTTCCCACTCTTACGCACTGAAGCACCTGTTATAAGCTTTTGACATGTGCACTTGTGCAGAGTTGGAGGTTCAACTACTTCAATAATTGTCCACACGCGAGGTGGTTTCGTGTAGGAAAAGACACGAAAATGTGTGTGTGTGTGTGTGAGAGAGAGAGAGAGAGAGAGAGGAGAGAGCATTTGAAGTGTGAAGCAGCACAGTAACAACGTTGTTTGCGATTCCATTGCAATGGCAGCAGCGAGCAAAGCCCCAGCGTGGAAATTCCACGTGTTCCTCAGTTTCAGGGGAGAAGACACACGCAACAAATTCACCGATCACCTATACGCTGCATTTAATGGCAGTGGCCTCGCCGTTTTCAAAGACGACAGAGAACTCCAGAGAGGACAAGTAATCGCGAGCGAGCTCCCCAAAGCGATTGAAGAATCGCTCTCTTCGGTCGTGGTTCTTTCTCCGCACTACGCTTCTTCTCGGTGGTGCTTGAACGAGCTTCTCAAGATACTTGAATCGCGAACGCAATTCAGTCGATTCGTTTTTCCGATCTTCTACGACGTGGATCCCTCCGATGTGAGGCACCAGCGAGGATCTTTTGCGCAAGCTTTCGCGAAGCATGGGGAAAGGTTTGGATGTGAGAGTGAGAAGGTTCGAAGGTGGAGACAAGCCTTGACGGACGTTGCAGATTTGTCTGGCTGGACCTCTAGGAATTGGTCAGTTTTGCTCTGTCACATATTTTGTACTGTTAGGTTTATATTTATGGATAAGAGTTAGATAAAGTTAGATAAAGTTGCATGGAGAGTGTTTGACATTTTTTTAAGGAAACTAATATTTTATTTCAGTGATTGGCATTGGTAACTAAAATTGAAGGTTATATTAGTGATGATTTTTCTATTTTAATCAGGGAATAATAAGGTTTGTATTTAAATTTTGTCCTAAGTCTAATTTTCATGTCTTTGTTTACTTACGTTGTGTTTTAACTAACAAGATAAAATGAATAAACAGTTGAAATAAATATGAACACTCTTTTCATTGGAAATTAATTGATGTTGTTTTAATTAGTTACTATTAATGTGTTCATTTACTTTATTTCCTAAAATTAATTTTCCTATAGATTTTTTAGGGTTTAAGGAAGCTATTTCTTTCCCAAGCGCGAGGACTTACAATTTTGTTTTTTAAAATCATGCTAGGAAGTTGATCTTCCCCAAACCATCTGCTCAACATTGATTTTTTAAGCTATGATGGGAAATTATGTTCCTAATATTTTTTCAACAAAGTTTTTTTTATAAAATCAAGTTAACTTAGACATTTAATAATTTTAAATGTTTAATTTAATTTTTTATATTACATGATGGCATTTTTTATTACGCCAATATTATAGAAGCAGTCTTCAAATTTCAACCATATTATTATATTTAACTATAATGCATGGTAGAAAGCACATACACTAGTAACTCGGTGGCTCCCGTATTAAAGGAGTCATCAGTATAATGTCCTGCTAGGACAGAGCATTGGCCATTGGGGGGCTAGTTTTTGTCAAGCAAAAGATATATGACTTGATTTGAGGACAATTCAAATCCATTTTTGTAATCATCAGAAGACATATAAGTGCGTGTACATGCAAATTTGAAAAATGTTTTCATAGAAGCAGCAAACGTGACGAGGGAAGAGTAAATAGTAGTAGTTGAGGAAGGATATTCAGATAAGACAAATGGAGGGGAAGGTATACTCGAAATAATTATTTTTGTTAGTTTTATTCGATTGCATTTATAATCTGTCATGTCTTTTATTGCTTTCGGCAGCTTGTATGACAAAATAATGAAATTTTTGGGGTACACAAGCCTCACTACTTGTTGGGTTTCTTGATTTTACTATTTCTTTCATAAAATGTTGATAAACAAGATACAGCATTCTTATTACTAATAATGAAAACATATCGAGTAAATGAAAATTGGCCAGTTGTATTCTTCAAAACAAGCAAAACCACAACAGAAAACAATAAAGAAACCCAATTAATAATCAACTGAGTACCTGGTACAAGACTAGAGAAGTTTGGCAAAGAAGACAAGTGATCGAAAAGTATAACCCCAAGCCATAACCTTATTAAACAAGCAAAAGACTAGGATAATAGCATACCACATACATTGTACACTTACAGAATGAGACCCTGAATATATAATTACGGGAAATTTTGAAAACTAGAGACTCTAATTAAGATTATATAAAAAGCATAATCCCAAATTGAAACCTTAATCACAATACACCCTCAGATATGATTATGTTGTTCCTTTACTTGATTATAATCCATATTACTTGATTCGTTTCCAAAATAATCATTTCTTATGTAGGCCAGAAACGGAACTCATTGAAGAAATTGTTGCAGAGGTCTGGGAAAATTTACAACCTCATTTGCCATCCTATTATGATGAACTGGTTGGAATTGATTCAAGGATAAACAACCTTTATTCCCTTTTAAGGACAGGGTCAGAGGAAGTTCGCTTTTTGGGGATATGGGGTATGGGTGGCATAGGAAAGACAACTCTAGCCAAATTTGTCTATAAGAAAATCCATAAACAATTTGATATTAGTTGCTTTCTTGACAATGTTAGAGAGGTTTCTAGTGAAAGAGATGGTCTGCTTTGCTTACAAAGAAAATTGCTTTCTCATCTGAAAATTAGAAGCATGAGAATTGAAAGTTTGGACCAAGGGAAGGAAACAATACGGAATCTCTTATTCAATAAAAAAGTTCTGCTTGTGCTTGATGATTTAAGTTCTGATATCCAACTAGAGACTTTAGCTGGAAAGCAAGAATGGTTTGGACCAGGGAGCAGAGTAATAATAACGACTAGAGACAAGCATCTACTAGCATCACTAGACGTTTGTGAAAATTATGATGTTCAAATTTTAAATAGTGAAGAATCCCTTCAACTTTTTTGTCAGAAGGCGTTCAAAGGAGAAAAACCTGAAGAAGCTTACGTAGAATGGTCAAAATGTGTGGTTCAATGTGCAGGAGGCATTCCTTTGGCTCTCAAAGTGCTGGGTTCATTCCTTTGTGGAAGAAGCGCATCCATATGGGAGGATGCTTTGAAAATGTTAAGGCAGGATCTACAAAATGATGTTTACAAGACTCTAAGAATAAGTTTTGATGGATTACGAGATATGGAAAAGGCTATATTTCTAGATATTGCTTGTTTTTTCAAGGGAAGCACCAAAGATCACGTGACACAAATATTGAAAAATTGTGGTCTCAATCCATTGATTGCTATAGACGTTCTAATTGAAAAATCATTGGTAACTTATGATGGATGGCATTTGGGGATGCACGATTTGCTTCAAGAAATGGGTAGGAATATCGTTCTCCAAGAATCTCCTAATGATGCTGGCAAGCGGAGTAGGTTATGGACTCTCAAGGACATTGATCAAGTATTCCGAAATAATAAAGTAAAATTTGTTTTACTTTATTTATACTGCATTTATAACTTGCTCCTCATCAATTCTTATGTTATTTTAATCTTCATATTTTATCAGGGAACTGAATCCATTCAAGCTATAGTTCTAAATCTGCCAGAGCCTTATGAAGCATGTTGGAACCCAGGAGCGTTCTCAAAGATGAGTAATCTTAGACTTCTCATGATATTAAATAAATTGCACCTGCCACTTGGTCTCAAGTCTCTGCCCAGTGGATTAAAAGTTCTTGTATGGAAGGAATATCCTCTCGAATCGTTGCCAGTTGGAGCTCAACTAGATGAACTTGTTGACCTTGATATGTGTCATAGCAAAATAAAACACCTTTGGAGAGGAACAAAGGTAACATTCTTCCATTTGACGTCTGGACCTTGTGTAATTTTTTAAGAGCTAATATATATTTATTTTCAGTTTCTGGGAAATTTGAAGACCATCAATTTGAGAAATTCCAAAGATCTGCATATAACTCCAGATTTCACTGGAATCCCAAATCTTGAAAAATTGGATCTTGAAGGCTGCATAAACCTAGTTGAGGTGCATGCATCTCTTGGACTACTTAAAAAGATTTCATATGTGACATTAGAAGATTGCAAAAATCTCAAAATCCTTCCAAGAAAATTGGTAATGGATTCTTTAAAACGTCTAATTCTTTCAGGCTGCTCAGCAGTTAGAAAACTTCCTGAGTTCGGGGAAAATATGAAAAATTTGTCCATGCTTGCTCTAGAGGAGACTTCCATAGCTGAACTGCCTTCATCTGTTGGTCATTTGACAGGTTTAAAGAACTTGCTTTTAGCAGGTTGCAAAAGTATTGTTTGCCTTCCAAAAACCATTTCTAATTTGAAATCTCTCATAAGGCTCAATATCTCTGGTTGCTCAAAATTTTCTAAGCTGCCTGATAATTTGAATGAAAATGAGGCATTGGAGTGTCTTAATGTGAGTGAGACTGCTATAAGAGAAGTGCCTCCATCCATTGTTTTCTTAAAAAACCTTAGACTACTTTTATTTCGTGGATGCAAAGGACTATCATCAAACTCTCATAGCTCACTTTTCTCTTTGAAGAAGATTTTTGGTCCGATTCCCAAGAGATTAGTTTTGCCTTCTTTTTCTGGTTTGTACTCACTGAAGAAACTCGACTTAAGCTATTGCAATCTCCATGATGGATCAATTCCTGATGATCTTGGCTGCTTATCATCACTGGTAACATTAGATCTAAGTGGGAACAATTTTGTACAACTTCCTGCCGGCTGCATCTCTAAACTTTTGAAGCTAGAGAAACTTTTATTGAAGTTCTGCCCAAACCTGCAATCATTTCCTAAGCTGCCACCAAATGTGCATTATGTAAATGCAAGTGATTGTGGTTCAATGAAACCTTTATCAGATCCACGGCAGATATGGGGTCACTTGGCATCATTTGCCTTCGATAAGGTCTGTCAATGTATCTTTTGTTTATATTATAGTTTCATTTCTTGTTAATTTTTTAACATACTGATTTCCTTGAAACAGTTGCAAGATGCCAAACAGCTTAAAACTTTATTAGTAAGTCCGGGAAACGAAATTCCATCATTCTTTTTCTATCAAAAGTATTTCAACCAAGTTCAAGACATAGAATACTTAAAAGATAACTACATTTGGGCTGATTCTACTGTGTCAATATCAATGGACTTGGCTGAACTTCGTCATCGTTATTATAGATGTGAATGGTGGGGAATTTTGGTTTGCCTTGTTGTGGAAGATGTGGTGTCTTCACCTTCCCAGGACTATCGCATTGGTTGGATTTCAAAAGTTCCTACCATCAACAACTTTTTGCATCAGCTATGTCACAAGTTGGAACATGGATTCATTTCAGGAATCCCGAATCATAAATATCCTCACCTGTTGATTTTATATCTTCCGTTCTGTCCATCTCGCTGGTTTTATGTTAAAGACAAGTTTCAATTAATATTTTTCAGTTCTAGTCTTAAGAGTAAGCTGGTGATAAAGAAATGTGGATGGAGAATATTATGTAAGGAAAATGCTGAAAGCTGGCGCAAAAAACTGTCTGAATGCAACACTGCTTCAGCCAACCTATGTATTCCACGTGGGGTTGGCTTATCTCCTCTTTTTGCTTCTTGGAGTTGGATATGCCATCTAAAGGTTCCCCAACGTTGCAAGACTTTCCTCTTGTCAGTCCTGTGCGATCGCTTGCCTGGTAATGCAAGGTGCAGGTTCTGCATCTTGGAAGGTACTATCATCCATGTTTTACGAGATTGTAGACGAGCTGTTGCAATCTGGGTTCAAATGGTTCCCGCTGACGTGCGTGATGAATTTTTTTCAATGTCGCTTCATGACTGGATGCATAGATTCCTTCAGAAACCTTGGTTGCCAAATAATTACCGGGACTATGATGCTGACTGTTTGAGGTTTACCATCACGACTTGGCTGCTTTGGAAGGATAGAAATAGTTCCATCATCGAGGGAAATTCTCCAACAGATAATAATGGGTTGTATTCTCTAATTCAGTCGCTAGTAAAAGAATATGCAATGTTTTTGCATCTAAATGGGGAAGAGGGTACTTCTGCTGTGAGTTCTCTCTCCGAGAACTCACGTCTAAAGCATTTTATTAAGTTGAACGTGGGTAGCTGCTTCCTGGGAAATCCTAGCATAGCGGGTTATGGAGGTCTCTTTCGTGATGTGGAAGGGAATTGGCTCAGTGGGTTCTATGGATCTCTGGGCGTTACAACAACTGTGAAAGCGGAGCTTCATACCATTTGTCAGGGTTTGATCACAGCTTGGGATTTGGGTTACAGAAATGTACTGGTTGAAACCGATTCATCTGAAGCTATACATCTGATTGAGGAGGCTAATATTGAGGATCATGCCTATGGTGACTTGCTAGCTGGCATACACTCCCTCAAGCAAAGAAACTGGTCCTTGAATTTGATCCATTCTCTCAGGGAAGATAATGCATGCGCAGACATTTTAGCAAAACTTGGAGCTGAGCAACATAAGGTCTATTGCTTCCTGGCTGATCCACCTGAGCAGCTTCGGCTGGCATTGATGGCTGATGCATTAAATGTTCAACTTCCTTGCCTGTAGTTCCTTTTTTATTTTTTTTTCAATGTTCCTAGGTTGAATTATGACTTGGAGCAACAGAAGTTCCTTGTGAAGAGCAATGATCCTTACTCCTCAATGAACTTAATAATGGAGAAGAAGCAACTTGGTCTGATGCAGAAGTAGAAACACAAACTGATAGGGAAAACTTGGATACAGTGTAATGCCTCTTGTAAGTCTATTCTTTGCCTCGCGTCTTTAACTAATTAACATGGGATTTGAGGTTATTAGCCTTTTGTCATGGACTCGTGGGTAATAACCAGCCAGGCGGGAATCCTGACTACCTTCTGATCATTAGTCAAATGGTATGCCCTTTTCCTGAAGCACAAAATTTAAGTGGAGTTTTATAAATATTGTTAGAATTGTTTTAATTAGAATTAAAATTTTATTTTGAATATATACTGACCTTTAGTATTAGTGTAACAGTGTACTATTTTTAATATCGATTTTTATTTCGGAAATTATTTTTAAAAAGTAATTTTAACTATATTTATAAAATTGCATCTAAATTTTGTTTTTATGGAGACATGTCCTACTCTATTTTACCTTATACAGTTGTCTAGAATTTTATTTCTTTTGCTCAGAGAAAAAAGATGACAGTTTAAAATTAATTTGAGAATTACCATTATGCCTTTATCAAAGAAAAGTTATGAACATATTCATGAGAAAAGTTTGCAAACATATGAAGCAAGAAACAAAATGTTCTTAGTTTTGGAGTATATTTTTTATGACTGTACATAAAAACATGCAAAATAAAACATACGATTTTTCATGCGTATTAGTTTTTTAATCTTCAAATAATGGAACTCTGGCTTGTGTCGACAAGACAATTGTACACTACATTTAAGAATGCTACTAGCATATAGCTCATGTATCATATAACTCAAACTTAAATAAAATTATAAATAAATAAGAAATGTTTAAATTAAAATGCATATCATAATAAGTAATTTAGGTAGATGTTAAAAATATAGATGAAAATATTTAAAAATATAAAAATACATTATAAGTTTTAAAATTAGCTATAAAATTTAAAACAGAAAAGAAAACCTGAAACTGAAACTGATATGCTTTATATTTAAGAGATCAAATCATCATCAAAGCAATAAAATATTAATTAATAATAAAAAAAGATTGTTAAATTTATAATTAATTAGTTTCCCTTTGACGTAACTTTAACGGGTTACTAAACCCGGTTTTTCTATTAAGAAGCCATTTCACTATTCAGTCACTCAGGTGGAATTTGCTTGACGAGACTTAACAATTAACGGTACATATACCGCTTAATTTATAATAAGCATTTTTCATTCGATGATAATTTATGCAATTAAGTATAAAAGTTATTAAAATAAATTTATTTATTTTAATAATTTATATAAAAAAAATTTATTGAAATAAATTAAAACTATAAAAATTATAAATTATTTTCATAAATTGTTCATTTTTTTTTTGTTTTAATATATATTTTCTAATAATTACATAACAACAATAAAGAAAACTGATGAATCAAGAAATTGAACAGAAAGACCGTCAACTTGTACAAATGTAGGAAATAAATAACATTGAATGTAATAAATGAAAATGAAAAATGAGAGACTAAATCCACTAGTTTGTCTTAGCATTCCAGTGTACTGCATTCCTCGATTCACTTAGTCCCCACACTATCCACATTTTAATGTTTCAAACAAGTTATTTCATTGAAAAATTAATAGAACTAAATTTGTTACATTTATAATATATTATGACAAACTAGTCATTGAAAAACTAACCATTATTTTGTATTTTGTATATACTCTTGAGATCAACCAACGATTTTCGCACAACTCGATTGTGCAACCTTCTCTTCTAATCAAGTTGTGTTAAGCTTTTGCCTCCAAATATCATAGATGTAGTCAATGCCTATAAAAAAAAACTCAAAAGGTTTCTACTTGAAAGACAAAGGCAATAAGAAGTTGATTGTTCCAGCAACGTAAGCTTCCAAAGTGATATTGTGAAGGACAAAATTGAATTTTCAATGTTTGCTTTGAAAATGAATATACTTTATGCCCAATTTCAAGTAGGTTTGAAATGCAAAGGCATGTATTCTTTTTGCATTCTACTGTTCAGGCTTTGGGCAAGTATTGCAACTATTCATGTTGACAAATGGGTCGCCTTCTGATAGTGTGAAAGACTACAAATTACAAAATGCACCGCTATTATTTAACGTGCTAAACTAATCTGATTAGTTTAATGTTTTAGAAGAGTGTGTTTCTAAGTTACTGTATATGCTAAATGAAAACTTAATATAATAAGAAACACTATTTAACATGTGGCATTGATTAAAAATAGACTATATTTGTTATGCTTATTTAAAGTTCAATTTAATTTAATCTATTTAAATAATAGATTTAATTTAAAAATTTTAAAATACTTAATTAATTAAATTTATAAAAAAAAAACTTATCAAAACTGATAAAATCACCTATTTAAAACTCTCAAAATTTATAATAACATTAAATAATTTTTATATATAAATATAATATATGTATAATATTATATTAAATAAATAAAATTTTAAAACAAATAAAATCTTAAATTAGAAATCATAATTTTTTTTGAGTTAAAGTGTCGTGAAAGAAAAAGCATTCTATATTAAAATATTTTTACATTACTATTGTATGATTCATCTTATACACAACACTCATTTATATTTACATTGTCTATTGTTAATTCATCTCATTTATTATTTTCTTTAATTTTATATATATATATATATATATATATATATATATATTGCATATAATTTAATATAATGCTAGTTTGTTTATTGCTTCTTTAATTTAATATGTAACTATTTTTTCACTTTTTCCCCCTACTTTTAAGTTTAACAAAATATCTTGAGAAGAATAAAACAATTTCATCTATTTATATGAAACTTTATATTACTTAATTTGCTTAATAATTTATAAATTAATGTTTATTTAATTATATTTGTTATATATTTATTTACTTATTTAAATAAAATATATAATTTGAAAATGATAAATAAAAATATATAAATTTATTAAAATATTTAACATCCTAAACCATTTTTAATATGTTATTGAGATATAAGCTTTATAATATTTTCAGAGGCATGCTTTTTAAGATATTTCAATAACTTATTTATAAAAAAGTTTAATGACATTAAAAACTTAAATACAAAATAGACTACTAAGAGTTAATAGATCAAATTGAACTTTTAAAAAAATTATAACTTTTAAAAAAATTATACTAAACTTAATAAAAAATTTATAATAATTAATATGTCAAACTCAAATTTTAAAATTATTAAATAGTAAAAGTCTATTTAGGAGAAGTTTAATATGTACTGACCTATTTCCATACTTACTGCCATCCCAGTGCCACAAAAGGATAAGAGAAGATATTTGCCAAACAGTAAGAAGTAGCATAAAAGGAAATGCAGCAGACATTTATAGTGCTTAAATCTCGACTCGCAATTATACGCAGAACCCAACACATGCTTATAGATACATTTAACCATATGAGATCAGCATACATTTTATTACATAATATGATTGTAAAAATAGAACACATATAAAGGTAATTTTAATTATTCTTATGATCACTTGAATGATAACATCTCTACAGCTAAATATCCAATGACTTTTGTCCTAACTTTGATACGTACTTACATAGAATCGATGTTCGTCAATTTGTTAATACGCTTTTTCTTCAAAACTAGTCACATTTATAAAAATGAAACGCAGAGACTCTTAAAAACAGCGAGAAATTTTTATGTAACAAATCATATTGATCAATGGGAATCATATTGATCAATGGGCTTGTCACATCCTCATAAGGACTCTGCAAACTGGGAAGCTTCCAAGTCTAGCTCTTGTCTCATGACACAGTTCATAAACCACTCACTACTGAAAGTCTGTATACCTTTCCTTGCAGCTATCATTGCTTCTTCTGTGTCTTCTTCGCATGTCACAAATATTGTTGTTGATGCTAGATTTACTTTCTCAAGTCCGCTAACAACCTAATACAAAAATAATAGGAATTTGATAAAAGGCGAGGTTCAGTTACAAAAAAGCCCCAGGAAAATAGAATGTAGATAGTTATGTTATGGGAATAAGGTGTATCATGATGTAGATAAAAGCATGTCTAAATGATGTGAAATGCCAGATGCAGCACTGTATCAGGTTGGCTTAAATTTAAATTTCAGCATTAGAAAAAAGCCTAGACTTACATTACCACCTGCGGACCTGACAATTGCAGACAGTGTTTTAGCAGGAGTTTGAACATGAGACGCGATACATATATTATACCCTTTAAATAAAGCATGGGGGTTGGCTTTTGCTCGGGAAACTGCAGTTTTTAAATCACATCTGTACTTCAGAAGATAGTCCTTATCATTCAGTATGTGAGGCAGTGCATCTGCATATTCATTTTTAAATTCAGTGCGTAAGCTATCCTCTGAATAATTATTAGACAGAGAATAAAGTTTGGTCCACCTTACCAACAAATTTGCCTTCACGAAAACTTTCTTTTAACCAACTTGATGAGACCACCCAAGCACTGTGCAGTCATCAAGATCTCCTTGTTATAAATAATCAACATGATGAATTATACATACAAAAATGTATATAGGGCATACATCAATGAATAAAAGAACGACTTCATAAGAATCAAACTATAAAAACAATATTGGCACGTTTCGATTTGATTGCTTTTTAGGCTAAAATCATTTGTTTATCCAATAGCTATCTTAGTAAGATTTTGATTAAAAGTTGTTTTTAATATAAAATAGTTCCAGAATTTATTTAAAAAACCAAGAGACGTCAAGATTTCAACTAGCTGCAAAATGCAACTAAAACTAGATTTCAACTATAAATAAAATTTCAGTATGAAACTGGGCATGCCAACATTTGGAATTATAATTTTGACCTACCCTGAACAGAGGGCGGTACAAAAATTCAGAGTTTTTCTCACTTTTCCCGTGACAACATGTGTGGTCATACTCCCATCGTCGACAATAGTTCCACCAAGGTCTTCAATCACCTATACATAGAACGAATGTCTAATGGTTGCTAAAAAAATCTAGACCTCTGCATTGGAGTAATTCAAGATTCTAGCCCATTACTAAAAGAAAGAAATTGAAAGCTTCAAATTATTTTTCCTGCCAGCAGCAAGAAACAAAAGCTTAAAAAGAGAGAATGTCAATACGTTGAAAAGAAAGAGACCGAGTCTCTAAAAAAAGACAGAAAAAATATCCCCCATCAATTTACGAAAGCATTCATAAAATGGTTGGTTAATTAAGCACACCTTTGTAAGCTGTGTTTTCTTAGCATCATCAGCGATATTCATCAACATAATTCTAAAGCATTGTGTAGTCGATAGAAGTCCTTTGTTGATGGGAGCTTCTGAATACAAATAACCTTGTGTATATTTTTCAGAATTCGTCGTCGTCAAAGAAGGATCACCATGAGGAATTTCTACAAAGCACGGGTTGACCTTATCGGTTTCTGAGATAAACCCCCAGCTATAATCTGATCGACAATCAACCAACTGGCTTCCCTTCACTCTTTTTGACTTCAACGAGGATAAAGAGGCCTCCCAGGCCCTCTTCGCACCTTTTGTAGAATGCGAACAATAATTCACATTACCATCAATTCCATCCTGCGAACTTTCTGCACAAGCGGCATGCCGGCCATCATTTACTTTGGAAAAAGGAACAATGTCATTGCAGCAGTACTTAGGATTGTGACTGTCAAATCCTGTTCAGAGTGTAAGAGATTACAACAAAAATTACAGAAAAAAACCAATTAATTCATATAAAAGATAATTTGTTTACTACTTTTTTGTAATTAAAAAATAAGAAATCATTGAAATTATAAAATAATCACAACTGCAAATATGGGGGACAGACAGAACGATGTCCTACCACCGAGTTTGTCATATTCTCTTGAGGATCCATCTTTCACCAAGGCCTTAGGTTCCCTTTTATCTGATTCTGTCCTATGGGAAGATCTATTTGGAAATTTCAAATCAACATGTAATTGTCCTGAAAACTCAAGTTGCTCATCTTCAGCAATGGCAGATGTAAAGGAATTCTGATGAAGCTGTGAGGGAAGACACTTCACAGAGTTAGCATCCTCGGCTAAGAATTCTTTCCTTAGGTGGCATACCATCAGAGTTGAACCACCAGGAAAGCATAATGATTTTCGAATATCAGCTTTTACAGGTAACCTGCGGGCTCTTCCTTTGGTATCAACCTGTGCGATTGATATAAAACCCTGCAGTTGCAATTCAAAGCAACATTGTAACATCATAACTAAGGAGCACCTTTTATAGGCACCATAATACTGGTTTTGATATCACTGAGTAATTCTCTTTGCATAAATGCCAACGTTTTCTATAATGCCTAAACTATCTGCTCAAGCTTTCAGATAATTTTCTTTTATTAATTACCTGTTTAAGCCAAAATCCTTCAGATTCCTTGTCTCCCCAGCAGAAAATAGAACGTATGCCAACACTTTGAAGTCTCTTCCGTAGTTCTAGAAACAATAGATGACCAAAACCCTGCAAGATATTAACTAATAATTAACTGAGAAAGAAACCTTATCTTTATTTGAACCATAAATTATAACTTGTTTACTATGAGCACCTAACCATTTAAACATAGACAACAGTTAAAAGAAAATGTAAAAATTATGAAAGACCTTCCGTTGATGGGTTGAATTGACAGCTGCAAGCGGGATCTCAGCATATTCTGTATCAGCAGAGATGATTTGGTATGTGATTGCAGCTATAACCTGTAAAATGTCAATAGTTAAGTTAATCTATACATATGCCGCTATAATTTTTTTGTTTCCACTGCCAAGCATGGTTGTGTAGCTCACATTAGATGATAGTTAGAAACATTTTTTCCTTTTATTTCCAGGCCAATCAGGGAAATCGTTGACACAATGTCAACCCACTTGTAAAACCAACCATTCCATCGATTATGCCTAAATATATTGTCATTTGATACAATACACAATCAAACAGTACTAAAATTGTTAGGTTTTCGCTTTAAGCACATGCTTTACTATAATTTGTAAACGTAGCATGACTAACGCATTGTCCATAAGTTTAATTTATAGGATAATGCAGCATACGTTACTTATAGATGCGCCCTAGACGTCCAAAAAATATGGGCTTACAAATATAACACTGATACAATACGGATTGAGCTCTTCTGAAGTGAAGGAATGTGTAAAGTGAGAAAATGAAGTTTTATTCACCTTGTGATTTAAATTGAAGTACTTTATAAATATAAATAACTTAAAATAAATGGTCGATAGACCTTTACTTTCTCATTTTACACATTCCCTCACATTAGAGAAACCAAATCCAATACAAAACACGTGCTCCAATTTGCGATGCGACTTAAATAGAGTCGTCTAGCAGAAATATATTACCTTTCCCGAATTTTCAACAGAAGCGGATTTCAGAAGTAGTGTTCTGTATTTCCTGCAAGAATATACAATTAATAACTGAAAGCTTCTTACATCTTTCAAGTAGCCAAAAAAAACACCCAGACAAAGCAAAGCCTACAGTTAAACCAGGTTAAAATAACCTCCCAGACACAAATAAACAAACTTGTGGGAAAAAAAAAATGTTAAATAGTAATAGTTAATGAACTAGCAGCCACACTGCCGGGAATAATTATAAACACGCAAGAAAAACATGAAGAATGAGAAGTAGCTAATACCCATTAGTCACACATCTCTCAAGAAACTTTGATTGTTTTCCTGTATTCGCAGCATAATTCATTCCAGGTAGCTCCGTCATATACATCTTTAATACCTCCTGCAAACCCATTTACAGAGACATTTCGGATGGGAAAAAATGGCAGGGTCAAATTTATATCACTATAAAATTTTTACAAAAATGTGTAAGCCATGAATGGTATTTTAAGTAGCTTTCTCTAGTTTTAAAATTTACTAAATAAGGGTGGAGAGAGACCCGCGTGACACAAGCAAACACAGTAAAGGGTGTTACCTGAAGGTAGGACTTGCTTATTCCATCAACATCTTTAGGATTAACTAGCACAAACTCGTGATCTATGAAAGTATAAACGTATAAACCAAATAACAAACATTATAAATAATGATCATCTAATAGTTACTATTAACTGCACACTTACATGAAAGTAATATTTATAAATCACATGTATGCTAATGTAGCATTTTACCTTTATCTCCGGACCTGAAATCCTCAGAAGCGTTTCCGTGTTTTGCAGACACGTCGCCTACTACTGTTTAAAGAAACGAGAAAAAAGAAAAAGAAAAGGAAACATTAGTAAAAATCATTAATCATATAAATAATAAAAAAAAAAACTCAAACTCAAACTCAACTGTGTTCGTAAGAATTAGTAAGAAACGAAACAAGCATTGTCTAAAATACCTGATACTTTGATCTTTCCGCTTCGGGGCAGAGAGATTACAATACTGTCAGAATCGGAGCAGCAGGTGAAACGATTGGCCTCTACCGTAATCTCGCAGTTACCTGAGAATGTGGAAATCGAAGTTAGAAACGAATATTGAAATGGAAGTCTTGGAATTCTAGGGTTTGAAAGATTCACCGATGGAGATTGGTAGTGAAGGTTTTCGTTTTGGCGCCATAATTCTTTTCGTTTTGGCCTTTGGTTTAACTAGTTGCCGAAGAAGCACTGTATTATATAGAGTCTGAAAGGAGTGGGCGTGCCGATAATATATTCAAATTTCAGTGGCATAAACGACATTTTATTCTTTTAAAAATAAAACTCCTACTAACTTACTACTTGACGTGTGATTTAGAATCCAACCCCTATTCCAATTTTCAGCGTAACAAAGGGGGAAAACCACGAAATTCTAAAATGGACTAAGTAAGCATTTAAAGGAAAATTACATTATTAGATATTTTGGTTCCTGATTTTTTAATTTGTACATCATTTCAATTATTTTTCTTGTTTGTTTTTTATTCTTTCAGATAATTTCACATTGAAAGGTGAAGTAATATACATTAATTTTTTGTTAAATAATTTAAATAATATTAATTTTAAAAAAAATTATCAAAATAAAATAAAATAAAAAGTTATTCCTTGTCTGGGGTAAATTTTTGCCACGTAAACACCTATTTCAATTTAAATCAGACAAAATTAATTATTTTTTTTTAATTAATCATTTCGTATAAAAGAGAGACGAAACACTCTATATGACGACATGTGTCAATGATTTCGTATAAATGAGAGACAAAACTATGGTCAAGTGTCAACATTGCATCTTATTGATTTCGTCCACATGTAAGACGAAATGCATATGGTTTCGCTCATATTTGAGACGAAACCATTATTGCCCGCTAGTTAACTCCCTTTCGCTGTCCCCTTTTATCCAGCACAAATGAAGTATAAAATGCTACGTTTGCAGAACCAAATTACGCTAGCACATTGAAAGAATAAGGGAAACAATATCAGCATAATTACCTCCAATAGGAGTTATCACAGGTCTTCCATCAATGCATAAGCCTAACAATACTAATATATCCTGCAAAGTAAGTGTACACTCGCCTGAAGGTAAGTGAAAAGTGTGTATCTCTGGCCTCCATCTTTCTACTAATGCAGTGATCAACGGGAGGTCTAATGGGAACTGACATATAAATCCTGCAAGCTCTAAATGTGGAAAGATCTCCTCTGAAACACCATCCAAACCAATTGGAATAAATTGGCTCTTCCTAACTTTCAAAATAGGATGATCTCGATCATTCCATATATGTTCAGACACGTGAATATTTTGTAAGTGCAATAATGAAGGATCCTCTGGTCCAGAATGAATGACTCTATTCTGTTCTGAAGATGACGCCATCTACAAAAAAAATTTATACATACGTGTGTGTTAGTTTCATTGTTTAGATAATTTTCAACCATTTTTATTTATGACTTACAAATAATATGTTATCAACTCAAATATACAAAATATCAATTATCTATAAAAAATAATATGGTCAACATTTTAAATTTGAATCTAAATTATACGAAAAAAATTCATAACAAGCATGACGTATAATACCACAATGTGTTCTTAACTTATCACATTATTCAAATACAAAATCTATTTATAATATTTTTTTAGTGGAATACAAAAAAAATCAAATACAATGGTTCATAACCAATTTTTAAAATTTGACTAAATAAATTAGTAATTTGTCTAGAAATATGTATATATATTTTATGAATTTTTTCCCTATATTTAACAATTTTTTTAACTTAGTACATCAAAATAAATTACCATATTAATTAAAACCTATAATCATTAAAATTTATCATACAATAACAACACTAATTAACAAGTTGTTTGTTTTTTATTTTTTATTGGTCATCGTTTATTAAATTATATAATTATCAATAATTAACCTCAACTAATTACAATCACTCTAAAGGTGTTTGGACGGTGGCGGTGTTTCTCCAACTAGCTTTCTTCTCCGTTTACAGTAAACTGTGCAGTTCTCTCAACCTCCTCAACCTTTCTATCCAAAAACACATTCAATTGTTGCAAACCAAGCAGATCTAAACACGATTCTGCAATGGATTACCAATCTCACTCACGAATCACGCTCAAACAATAACAAAATACCCACCCAGCTCGTTAAACGAAAAAAATGGAGGAAGTGCGTGATTGAAACAACAGAGGGTAGTAGGGAAGAGGGAGACGCAGGGTCCGTCGCTCCGCCAACACGTGGGCCAATCACGTATTTTCATTCCTACGTTAGACGAAATCACCTTTTCGTCTGACTCATAGGCGAAACAACATGATTGGCCCACGTGTCGCAGAGCGGGAAAGTGTAATTCAAATTTTATGGATTTTGTCCAAATTTAGGGCAAAACTATTAAATAAAAAAATTAAAAATTTATTTCGTCTGGTTTAAATACGAAATAGATGTTTATGTGACAAAAATTTGTCCCAGACAGGGAATAACTTTTTTTTTTTTTGGTAATTATTTTTAAAATTAAGATTATTTAAATCATTATCCCTTAATTTTTACATTCTTCCTTATTTTTAATATGTTAAAAGCTTGCTTTTATATTAACTTGTAAGATTTCTTACACGTGAGTTTTGTTAAATTAAAAATATGTTTTGAATACAAATTTAAAAATATTATATAATCATTTTAAAATTTAATAAACTGTATAAATTATAAATAAAAATTATTTTTTTGCTATTTAAATAAAAAGTATTTTAATTATTGATAAAAAATATTTAATTACACTTTGTATCTTTTTTTTCAACTTATATATAATTTCAGTTTTTTAAAATTGCATTGTTCATGTTTAATTTTTAATATTTTATTATTATTTAAATTAAGTCTCCAGCTTAAAAAATTTATTTAATAATTAATAGCATATAATAGAATTAAAAATATTATTAATTAATTTTTATAAATTAATAAATAATATAAAAATAAATAAATAAATTTATTACATTTTATTTAATTATTCCGTTTATGTTTTTAAAATTTTACATAAATTAATAATATAATATATTTTATTATATTTTTGTTTGTTATTGGATAGAATCTTGTGGTAGGAGAGGAATTTGAATAATTAAAAAAATAGAAAAATTAAATATAAATATTAAAATAAAATAATCAAAATCACGTATAAGTTAAAACATAAGAACTAGAGATATAATTAAATTAAATAAATATTTTGTATAATATTAAATTAATAATAATTGTTCAATGTATACAAAATTATGTAACATAATAAGAAAACAATAATTGTTAAATATATTTTATTTAAAATTATTCATATAAATACTTTAATGTAATTAAAAAAACTATTTAATAATTGATTATCGCATTATTCATTTTGTTTAGTTATAAAAATTGTTTAAAAGATCAAATTTTAAATTGTATGGTAATTCATAACTTTATGCAAATTCAATAATGTTACATTGATATGTTAAATTCTCTTTCCTTTTGTTTCTGTGTCCTAATACTTCTAGACTATGTGAAAATTACTGTGAGGACTTTATTTTACATTAGACTCATTTGTTTACGATTATTTATTGAGAAAAGGATTTTAAATTTTCAATTTGGACTTTTTCTTTTACTTGTTTGAGACTGTGAAAATATCAAAAGTTAAAAATATTTCTTTTAGATGTTTTAATATCTTTTTAGTAGTTTTTGAAGAGAAGTGCTTTTAAAATTATAACTAAACAAAAAATGAATTTTATTTTTAAAAATTATTTACAAAAAATTATTTGTATAGTGTATACGTCCTCGAAATCACTGTTTTAAAATATTTAAATAAACGAGTTTGAGTTTTATTAACTACAAATTAGAATATGTCAATTTTTTAACATATAATTTATTAAAATGTAATTTTTTTTATTCCTGATTAATATATTAAAAATAACGTAAACTAATTATTTTATGCAATTAAATATAAAAAGCAAATCAATCATGTCCTAATTCCATTAAAATTAATAATATTTAAAAATAAAAGTAATAAAATTTATAAAATTTCTTAAAAATAAATAATTTCTCATCAATGTTCCAAACAAAATTTAATTATTTACCAAAAAATAATAATAATTTACCAATCAAATCTTATATTTTATCATTCCAAATGTAGCTATACTTTATAGGCTTGCTAAATGAAGAATTAGATATAAACATTATTAATTTTAAATCAAATGGAAACATTAGCCTGAACTTGAATTAAAATACCTTTTGAAGATGAACACTGCGAAAACGCCTTGCTTTGGCTTTTACCCCTTCCCTCTCTGTTCGTGCTTGTGCTCCCTAACAAGTTATCTCTGACCTCCAAGTCATGGCTATCTTGTTGTCTACGATTTTTGTTCCTTCTACTAAGCTCAGCTCCAAGCTTTCCATCTTCAGCAACAACAGGCAAGAACACGCAGTTCCAAATTTGCGCCATTTCGAAGGTAAGCCACTTCATTAATCAATCCTCTTCGATTTGTTCGTTATTTTTCTGATACCCATTTGCGTTTTCATGTGTTCTGAGTGTAGATAATAGCAACCGCTTTCAGAAAGTTTCGTCATTTATTTCCTTTGCGGTGAACGGTGACTCAACTCTTGCTAGAACCACGCCAAAGAGAGATGGTAAAAACCCGTTTCTGAGTGAGGGAAGGGATGAAGATGAAGCTCGTGGACCTATTTGCCCTGGTTGTGGAGTCTTCATGCAAGATAATGACCCTAACCTTCCTGGGTATTATCAACAAAGGAAGGTTAAAGTTGAAGAGTTTACAGAAGAGGATGATGGGTTTCATGATGTGGAAGAAGAAGATGATGATGATAATGAAGTGGGGTTTGTGGATGGAAGTGAAAGTAAGCTTGGAGAAGAAATTGAGGGGTTAAGAGATGAATTTGATTGGGATTCTGATGAGTGGGAAGCTAAGTTACTAGGGGAAGATGATGATGATGAAAAGGATTTGGATGGGTTTGCACCTGCAGGGGTTGGTTATGGTAACATTACTGAGGAGTATTTGGAGAGGATAAAGAAGAAGAAGGTGTCCAAAGCTGAGAAGAAGAAGATGGCTAAGGAGGCTGAGAAGGTGAAAGAAGAGGTTACTGTGTGTGCTCGGTGTCATTCCTTGAGAAATTATGGCCAGGTTAAGAACCAGACAGTTGAGAATTTGATACCAGATTTTGATTTCGATAGGTTGATTTCTACTCGGTTGATGAATCCTTCTGGTAGTGGAAGTGCTACTGTTGTTGTCATGGTTGTGGATTGTGTTGATTTTGATGGTTCTTTCCCTAGAACCGCGGTGAAATCATTGTTTAAGGCATTGGATAAAATGCAGGATAACATGAAACAGGCCAAGAAGTTGCCAAAGCTTGTTCTAGTGGCGACAAAAGTTGATCTCCTTCCTTCCCAGGTTTCTCCTACAAGGTTAGATAGATGGGTTAGAAACCGTGCAAGGTATGGAGGTGCACCAAAGTTAAATGGGGTTTATATGGTCAGTGCTCGAAAGGACTTAGGAGTAAGGAATTTGTTATCCTTTATAAAGAATTTGAGCGGCCCTCGAGGGAATGTGTGGGTAATTGGAGCTCAAAATGCAGGTAAGTCTACTCTGATCAATGCGTTTGCAAAGAAAGAAGGAGCCAAAGTTACTAAGCTCACAGAAGCTGCAATTCCTGGGACAACACTTGGGATCTTGAGAATTGCAGGAATTTTGCCGGCTAAGACGAAGATGTTTGACACTCCAGGGCTCTTGCATCCATATTTAATATCAATGAGATTGAACCGGGATGAGCAAAAAATGGTGGAGATACGGAAGGAACTTCGGCCACGGACATATAGAATTAAGGCAAGTGACTTTTTGCTGTTCCTGTTCTCTATCCTGGATTTGAATGGTCAGGAGCGCTTTTATTTTCCTGCATAGATTATATATGTGTTTTGTGCATCTTCGTAAGTTAAGAGCTAACATAAATGAGAAATGTTCTTGTTCAAGTATTATGTTTTCATTGGCTACTAAACAAGATACAACCATTATGAACATTATTTGGTTGTTGAAGATGTTAAACCATAAATATGCGTACTGAATTGATATTACAAGATTTGTATGTGTATTAGTATGATATTCAAGAAAAAGAGATGCAGTTAGAACTTAGAATCTTACATGCTGGTTTTAATTTACAGGTAGGGCAGGCTGTCCACATCGGTGGCTTAACGAGACTTGACCTTGTTGAATCCTCTGTTGAAACAATATATGTCACAGTTTGGGCATCACCAAATGTTTCCCTTCACATGGGGAAAATCGAAAATGCCGATGAGGTTTGGAGTAATCATGTTGGTGTTAGGCTGCAGGTAAACTTTTTCCAATTTTCCTACCAAATTAAACAAGTCTCAATATTATGTTTTACTGATGAGGTTGAAAACTCTATTTTTTCCATAGCTTGGTCATCGTTCGTTTCATTTGGTTAATTTGCTCACACCTAGTTCCATCTAAATAAACTCAAGTAACCATTATAAGCTAGTGACGATTTAATATATACTCGGTAAGAAGGGATTTCCTACATGAAACAATTATAACTGATTGTTTAATCTTTATTTTTTTCCATCTCCCTCAATGGTCTTGTTCTCACTTAACCTTCGATAGAAAATAAGATTTTGCATGGTGTCTGTAGTCTATATTTAGCTATTGTAAATACCAAGAATCTACCAAGAAACATATCTTTAGTTTTCCCGTCTGGAGGCTGGGGGAGGGGGTTGAAGAATGTAGTTAGGGGAATTCACCTGTACATATTTGTGATTTTTGAACATCATATGCAATTGTTTCTTAGCAATGTTGGCATTTAGAAATGCTGGAATCATCTTTGCTTTGTAAATCAAACTTCACTAATATTCTCAAGAAAACTAACTCTAGAAAAGAGGATGACACTTTTTTAAATAAATAAACTTAAATTATACTCAAACATCCAAACTTTTCCCAAATCAGAATATCGGAAACAAAAGAAAATCACACTTTGATTAACATTTAGATATTTGAATTGGAATATGAAGGAGCTTAATGTTGTCTTGATAAATGAGTTTGCTCTGGTGGATTTGCTTGAGTTCTCATTGATATAATGGTTGACTGCAGTGAAGCTAGATATAGTGATTTTTGGTGATAAATGATCAACTTCTTGAGTCAGAAATTATGAGAAATCTGATTGTTCAAAACTCAAAACCTTTTGCAAGGGTTCAGAACTTCAGATTCCTTGAAACAGTAGTAAACTTCAAAGTGGGGAGAGGTGCTACCGTTTGTTTCTGGAAATATAGTGTTCTGATAATAATCACTTTTCTACTCCTCCTTATTAATCTGGAAAGATTTGGTTTCATTAATTGGATTTACTTTTAGCTAAAAAAAGTCTGGTATCTTTGTGATTATCAGATTGAAAAGGGGAAATCAATTTGACTTTATTCTGCAAAGAAATGCATTATAAATGCAAAGACATTCTTTGGGGAACTGGTTGAAAAAGGGCACGTTGTACAGTAAATTGTTTGTGTAGATAAAAGAATATTAGTCAACCTTTTGAGCTCATTTAGGACTTTGAATGTTAAGGTTCTGAGAAGTAAAATCAAGAAAAAAAAAAGACTGTATAGTATTGACTATTTTATTGATCACTTTAGAAAGCGGTAGGATTACAAGAACACCCCCCCCCCCCCCAAGCTCACAGCTCCTGAACAAAGAATGAATTCTCCCTAACACAACTTACAGAAAAGAGAACACACCCCTCAATCTAGAATCTAACTCTATTTATAGAATCTATTAACCATATTAACAACTAACTAGCAGTTGACACTTTCCTACCCTTCCTCCTAGTAGTTTTTTCTTTGTGATTTTGCAAAGTTAGACCCAAAAAGACCACCATCGCACTTATAAATTGGTAATTAAGTAGTATGCTTTGTTGCACATCCTGACTTGGCACCAACATCTTGATACAATTATACAACCCATTTGTAACTTCTAAATCAAATTTAATTTGAGGGTTGTCATAGTAAAATTTCGGGTTTAAAATGTGACCAGCTGCATGTAATGGACTGTGAAGCTGACTAGTCCATCTATTATCAATGATTGCAAACACATTTTTGTATTTACTTTCATTATTTTTGAATGACTTCATAATAGCTTCTTTACTTTTCTCCGTTGCTTCATAAATATACCTTATGACTGGTCTTCTTTTCCCATCAATCAAACGTAACACCCAAACAAGAGGAGCCATAATTTTCAAAATATATACCACATTATTCCAAAATACAAGATTTAATAGAATTTTTGTTGCTTGCTTTCCTTTAACTTCCTTTGATAACTTGTTTTTACACTACTCCTTAGAAGTAAATATCTTTCTAAGATTTGCTTTTTCTTGGTGAAGCCTTTCCAATGATAAAAAAGAAGTTGTAAATCGAGTAACTGCATGTCTCACTAATTTCCTCTTGTTTGTAAAATTTCTCAATAAACTCAAGGTACTTGAATAATTGTAGATAAAGCTAACAACCGATATTTCCTTTTGAATTATCGTCTTTATCAAGGAAAGCTTTCCAATATCTTTAAGCATAAAATCTATGCAATAAGCTGCACAAAGAATCCAATAAAGATTTCTTTTCGCTTCCAACATCTTACCAGCCAAGACATAATTGTTTCCATTATCCGTTATCATTTGCACAACTTTATCTTCTCCAATCTCTTTCACAAGAGTATCAAGCATCTCAAATAATTTTTCACCGGTCTTCACAAAATTAGATCCATCAATGAACCTCACAAACATAGTCCTAGCAGAAGAGTTGACCAAAAAATTAATCAAGCATCTTTGCTTTCGATCGGTCCATACATCTGACATGATGGAACAACCATGTTTGCTCCATTGTTTCTTATGATCTTTCATGAGAGAATTGGTATATTCTAACTCTTTCTTTAGAAGTCGAACTCGAATATTATGATAACTTGGAGCTGATAAATTTGAACCGAAAGCACTAACAGTTGTAAGCATTTCTTGAAAGCTCTTCATTTTAATGAGGTTAAATGAAAGGCCAGCTTGATACTAAAATCGAGCTATTTATTGATGGACCTTTGCTTTGGCTTCTTTGTCACAAACTTTTCTTATATTTGATTGCCTCAATTTTAACTTTTTCCTTTTCTCAATTACATTTTATAGCTTTCTACAAAACAAATCCATTGGCCCTTTCTGATTACCCATGGCAATACTATGTGTTTGGGTATTCTCTTCATTCTTACTTTCATCATAGCTTATACTTTCAAAGCTTGTCACATTTGGCATCTCAAAGTTGTTTTGACTCTTTTTATCCTTTTGATATGTTTCAATCTCTTTTTTAACTTCTTCAAGACACTTGGGGTAAGCTTTCACATTATCTTTCTTTCCAATCAAATGTTGTTTCACTCTAGTGATTCCAACATTCATAACTTTTCCACAAAAGTTACATACAATGTTGTTTGTATCACCCTCTTTCAACAAATGAGCGCATTTCCATCCTGGGTCAGATCGCGTAGAAGCTCTTGATGATGAAGATTCTTGTTGAGGTATGTTAAGAGAAGCTGAAATAAAGATAATGGGTTTTTTTGAGGATAAACAAAGAAAAAGCATACATGTGGACGAAGGAAAATTGAAACATGGAAAGAGTAAAACAGAAATGAAGAAATAAAAGAAAAAACTGCAAGAGAGAGGAAATACAAAAAAAGATGGCTACCGAAAAAAAAGGGTAGCTGGAGATGGAGGTTTACGTCACCGAAAATGGAGGAAATGTCGCCCCAGTGAACAGAACAAAACAGAGAAGGTCAGAGAAGAGAAAGATCTGAGATTAGGGCAGACCGATGTCGGAGAAGACTAATTGGAGAAGAGAAATCGAAAAAGATGATGGTAGAGAGGGGTCCGAGACGAGCAAAGATGGGAGATGAGCAAAGAAAAGAGAGATGAGAGATAGGGAGAAGGGTTTGAGTGACGGAGAAGAGAGACTTATCTTATTTTATGCGTGGGTCAGCCTTGGACCAGGTTGGATTTGGGCCCAAATAACAAAAATCAGCCATTTTTCACAAATTTCTGTCATGGCCGCTGTTACCGCCATGGCGCCGCGATACAAAAAGGCCATTTAACGGAGGCAATGTAACGGCGGGGTTGAAATCTGCCATCGCAAGCCACCATGGAGCTGCCATTTCCGCCATTTGATAATACTGGAATGATAATTTTGATGAATTGATTGAGAAATAGTTGTGATATTACATGTTTTGAAACACCTAAGTTTTTGTTGTATGATCATAAAGTGTGACTATATGATCTTGTACAAAGTTTCTCGAAGTTTCTATAGTTTAGAGAGAAAGAAGATGAAATTTTGAAATTTTTCTCAATTTTGGTTTAAGCAAAAATCATTTTTTTACTAAATTCGCTCAAACGAATTTTTTTGGCTTAAGCCAAATTTACTTTATGTTAAATTCGCTTAAGTGAAAATGCACTGCAGGACGTAGTTCCTGCCAAAACTGCAGATGATCTGGTTTCTTGAGTTTTTAGGTTTAGTTGGATCTTATATTTTTTATAGAAGTTTCATATCAACAGGGTGTAAGTTAGGATTACCATAGAAGCTTAGGAGCTGAAACATTTTTACAATCTATGAATCAAATAACTCGTTGCTTCAGAACATATAACCCGCACAATATTTGCAGTTTACAGTATGAAAAAATGTTAAACGTTAGTTATTACTAATTTAAATCATTAATGAACAGAAACTTCTTCCAATGTCTTTTTAATAGTCCTCTAGAATTTAAAACTTGCAGAAGCTATACGACAAAGATTCCGAATGTGAGGAGTTTTAATTTATATCATACAAGCTATATATAAATTAATTAATAATAAATTTTTATTTAAAATGACAACATATATAGCTTGGATGATATAAAATAAAATTGTGCTTTATCATCTTTCTTCTGAAATGGACGTTGGTCTATGCTTTCTCTAATTTAATTTTATTTAATTTTATTCTTTTTCCAGCCTCCCATGGGTAATGACCGAGCTGCTGAATTAGGAACCTGGGAAGAAAGGGAAGTAAAAGTGTCTGGATCTAGTTGGGACGTCAACAGCATTGACATAGCAATTGCGGGTTTAGGTTGGTTCTCTTTGGGTCTCAAAGGTGAAGCAACCTTGAAATTGTGGGCCTTTGATGGAGTTGAAATAACTGAGAGAGAACCTTTGGTTCTTGACCGGGCCCCATTCCTTGAGAAACCAGGATTTTGGTTACCAAAAGCCATCTCTGATGCTATTGGCAACCAAACTAAACTTGAAGCTCAAAGAAGGAAACAACTTGAAGATGAGGATACGGAATACGTGGGGACAGGGCCAGGGCTTTCCGCATGAAAAGAATTTTGCCCCTTGACTTTCATTAAGGATGTAATTGAACTGACGTGTTGCAGAGGCAATAACATGTTTGCAGCTTAAGCTTTTACACCCATTTCATTCAACTAGCTGGTGTGATTACCCCCACCAACTAATCAGATAAAATGCATCCACGCTGCCAGGTGTCACAGTCGGTGATTGTGTAGTTTTGAAATGAGTCGTAAGACTAAGATCTGCATCTTTAATGTACATAAATTGGTAATATCTACATTTTGGGTGATAGATTTTCAAATTTTATGTATATGAATACATTAAATTTTATGTATTCATGGCCTTTCCACAAGGCAGGAGAATTAGAGTATCTCTAGAAGAGGAGTCGGAATATAATTACATTTACTCTTGGACATGGCTTTGTCATGTTTTATGAAGGTGCCACTCCTTTCTGCTGACAATCTGAGGCGGATTTATGTCAAAGCACTTTGATTTTTACGTCCTAAAGTTAATTGGGTGTTAAGAATCACAGCAGCGCATCGAATGCCCCCTTAAATTTGGCAACTATGAAGCTGACAGAGAACGTGCCCATTTTAATTAAGGTTTAAAGTCATGAGAAAACAATTCCTAATAGAGAACTGTTTGTCTTTTTTCATTTTTGTAATTTGAATACTTGTAGTAGTTCTTACATCAGTACGAAATATAGTCACAAATTTTACTTTTCCTTCCATATTTTACCAGAGAATTTGGTAAAGCAAGAGAAGGTTAGATTGTAACTTGAAACCTCTATACAAGAGTTAACAGAAAGTTAAAGCTAACGATAACATGGTACAGTAGCTAAATGACCGCAAGCTAAGGCCGTGACTGACATTCAGCCTCATGCAGTTACTTTGGTCCATGCTCTGGCTCCACAAAAGTGTTGGGTCGAGTTTCTTCTGAAATATAATTAAAGCCCCTTCTTATTAGCGAATGAAAACCAAGCTCAAACTTCATAAAGATAACATAACACTCTTAAATTTGAATTTTGAATTCAAAACTCGAAACATAATGATCCCCTTTGCCTATACACTCTCTCCAAGTCCAACAAATTATTTACCTTGGTTTTCAGAAGATTGAAGAAACTCTTCAAACTGAGCATCCAAAGCAGAAAGATCTTCACCAGCATAAAGATCAAATGCATCAGGTAGCAAATCAACCACATCATTGCTACCTTCCTCACTACCGTTTACATAAAAGCCTTCTTCATCTTCTTGTTGCTGGCTGAGCCAGTAGTCATGGTACCATTTTAGAGTTGTTACCAGCTCCCACCATTCTGGAGAAAAATCCTCCACTTGGCGGAAGGCAGCTGGAATGTAAAGAGGGGCATTGGGGTTCAGTGTTGATCTTCCTCCAGAGACTAATGCCATCCTGCTTAACTTGATTCAACGATTCTGATCTTTGTCTTTGTCTGCGCCATAAGTAAATCAACAAGAACCAAGCAGCACCAGTGTTAACAAGGATCAAGATTCAAGAATCAAAAATAAATTATCAAACAAGAAATTAACATAAATTTTCGAGTATAAAAATGGATCTTCCGCCTACAAGAGCATTACATTCGGATTATTCAACACATCAGTAATTTCGAATATCTATATTGGGAGATATCAAGATTCCATCAATTTGGCAAATGGAACAACAAACCTCGATCATACATAAAATAAATAAACAATTAGCAGAAAAAGTCAGATCTCTGATAAAAGAATTCAAAACAACCTCTCTTTTGACTCCTTCGGAGTAAAGATCGTTACGTAATAAAATATTCCAAAAAAAAGAGAGGCAATAAAGTCGCTGGCTAATTGAAATTTCGTAACCTTGAAATTCAAACAAAGAAAAACCCGAATCCATTTGTTTCCAAGCATCAATCAAACAAATTTTACAATAAATCACTAATTTCCGCGCAATTACAGGAAAAAAAACAGATACAAAAACGAATCACTCAAGGTTTCCATTTTCCCCCAAAATACAAAAGAAAAGAAAAAGAAAAAGAAAAAGAAAAAGAAAAACGAAATTCCACTCACTCAAAACAATCCCTCGGAACCAGAAATAGATCAGAGAGAGAAGAGAAATTACCTGAGAAATTTCGTTAACGACGAGCGAGAGTTACGCGTCGAGGCGAGCCGAGAAAGCGTGATTTATAGAGGGGCGAAAGGGATATCTCCGAAGCTGTGGTTCGGGAAAAGGTGGGACCCACGGAGTAGGTTAGGTGAAAGCACCGTCGAGAGCGCGTCTTGGTTCGGACGCAACGGTGCTGAGGTGAATGTCAATTGTCAACTATGCGCGTATTCCTGCAGGTGAATGTTGACCCTCGACGTATTTAATACTGCCTTCCCCGTTTCCTTATTTTCTTTCTCGTTCTACGGTTCTTAATTGTTTCACAGTTTGTTATTCTGCCACAACCACCCAAACTTAACCCACAATATTTTAGCAAAGGCCTTTACCAAACTGGCTAGCCAAGCAAAATGTGTGCTCTCCATTGCCTAAATTTAATTGACGACTAATCACACAAACCATATACGCCATCCAATGATGTCAATGCGGTGGATCATGTAAGTTTTTTAGATATGTTCTAGTAATTAACTTATGATTAAGTTTTTTTCATGTCTCAGTCTTAATAATTAAGCCATATAATGTTTAATATAATATCATTTAAATGTTCTACAGGGGAATAAATCCCTTAAATGTCATTCTTAATTTCAGAAGCTCAGAGTTACAATTATCTATGATATAAAAATTATTATCTAGTGAATGTCCAGAATTAGTGAAGAAATTACCACCTCTATTAATTTGTCTAGATATATGATGAATTCTAAAGCCTTTATCCTCTTATAAGAATTTTTTGTTGTTTTGATATTTTAAAAATCTCTTTTAATTTATATTATGATGCAGTATTGTATCATCTTCTCATTATTACACATTTCTCTTAATTTTTTATGTAATGGTATGAATTAAGAAAAATTAATGTAATGTCAAAAAAATTATAAATAAAGAGTTTAATTAAAATACACCAACAGCGTAACTTTTGTTTTTACACTGTCATCGAATTAAAATTTGCATATAAGCACAAAATTTCAATTTTTATGATAATTAATATAAAAATATATTAAATTATTGACATTATAAAAATACATCAAAATTAAATTCATAAAATAAAACACATCCATTTGTACAAGACCAAATAAAATAGAGGAATATAAAAAAAAAGTAATATAATGTCACAAAGTATTAATAATGCAGGCTGCTATTGGTTATAACTGTTAAAATGGGTCAAGCCCTCAGCCTTTCTCTATCAATCTCCTATATAATTCTGTTTATTTTTAAAAGCTTTATAATTAGTAGATTTACATTGATTTTTAAATTCTAAAATAAAAAAAATAGTAAACTAAAATCAGAATTAGGAGTGGACTAGTCCACTTATTTTATAAAGTAAGTCATAACTATTATATCATTTTTTATAATATTCATTAAATTATTTTATTTAATTAAATTAAAATTTATATTTAAAATATAAAAAATATTTTTAAAAATAAAAAATATTTAGTCAATATATTAAAATTTAATTATAAAAATAATATAAAATATAATTATATCATAAAATTAAAATAAATTTAGTTTTTGCATTTATTTAATATTATAAAATAATTTATGATTTTAATTAAGAATAAGTATTAAATATTTTTAACTAAATAATAATTAAATGATAAAATAATATTTTATAAAATACTAATTAATAATTATTTTAATAAATTTAATCAATTTTAGTATGTTTAAATATTATTTAATAAATTTTAATAATTATAGATTCATTTATAACTTAGAATTATATATGGTATGATTATTTTCAATATAAATATAAATATGTAAAATCTTAAATGATTAATTTTAATAAATTTTATATAAATATATAGGTATAGATAAATTTTTATTATTAAAAATACAGTTGTTAATATACATTTGAAATTCAATAATTTGTAAATATCTATATAAATTAACGTATAAATAAAAAATTAAATTATTAGTTAATTTATCAATTTATATGTAATATATAAGTATGTATTTTAATTTATCGTATATATATTATTTCTTTTCATTACATTAATGTGTTAATTTTACACATATTTATGAGTTTAAAATAATAAATTAATGTATAAAATAAAATTAAATATTATATATATATATATTGTATTTAGTTTAAAATTTTATATTAATTTTTATCACAAATTTTTTATTAAGATAAAAATTTAGAAACACAAATTAATTTAATTTAAATATAAATTTTATTAAATAAGATTAATCAAAATTTAAATTTGTAAACATTTATTAATTCTTACTATGTTCACATGTTACTTTTCTACATCCATGAATTTTAAATATAAAATATTTTATGTCTATAATTTCAACGATAAAAATGTTTATTTACTTTTTTTAATATATTAATTTTCATTCACTAGATTTAATAAATTTTTTCAGTGTTATTTTTTATTATCAATTTTATATGTTTATTGTGATTTTATCTATTGAATATATAGATTTTTTTTAATAAATAAAATATAATCCTATATATATATATATATATATATATAATATTTTTAATACTTTTATGAAAATAAATTAAGAAAAATAATAATATAAAAAATTTATTGAATAAAAAATTTATAGTTAATACTCAAATAATATTTTAAAATTTATTTATAAACTATATAAAAAATTATTACAATTATTTAATAATTATCACTAATATAGATAAAAATTATATAAAAAATTGTTAAAATTATATAATAATTTTTATTTTTATTAATTATATTTAATAACAACAATCAATATAAATATTTAATATTATATAAATTTTATTTTATTTTTTTAAGTAATTTTACTGAAATACAAGTTTATTATAAAAAATATTATATAAAATAAATATTTTTACTAAATATTTTAATAATTATTGTAATTTGTATATAGTTTTTTTAAATCTAATTTTTTTTAAAATGTATAAATTTTTTAACTCACAAACTTTGATACTAATCTTGATAGACTTATAAATTGATGGACTTTTTGGTTCGTAAGACTTTTTAGCTCTAATCTGCATGGGTTAAAATTAGCACCGGATTAAATAGATTTTTTAAATTGACATTTGCAAACACTACTTGGCCAAGGTATTCCAACATTATTGAAACGGAACATCAAGAAAAGAAATGCTCCTGAAGATAGCATGTCCCATGATAGTAATTGAACTTGAATGTTCAATGAGTCACCATGATACTGTTGAAAACAACACTTGTTCCTTGATATCCATATAAACCAGGTGGTTGCACAGAAGATAACTACCCATCCTATAGCCTCTTTTTCCCCACTAAACATGTCTTGGTCATTAAATAAATGAATCGTAGTAAGAACCAAGAAAAATAGAACTAAATATTCCACCATCTTTAACGCTTATAGCAAACAGAAGATGCGTGGTGGCATATAAAAAACAGATGATATATGCTTTATTAATTAATACTTTTATTGAGAGTTAGAATAAGAAAATAATGAGTCAATTATAATATATAGATTACGTATCAGTTTTTAAAGAATGTGATAATGTAATGATTTACATTGAGTTGTTTTTATTTGTTTTAAAATTTAAAATTAACTAATATTTTTTAAATATAAATCATATATCTTAATGTAAATATGTGATTCAAATTAATTAATAAAAACATATTTTAATCTGTGTATAGTTCTTTATGAGAATACCCCTTGCACCGTTTGTGTTGGTGCTTATGTAACATGCTTGTGGTTAACATCATTGCTTAGTTTATTAAAAGTGCTTCATAGAGTTTTTATTTACATAATATTTTAATTTTAATAATAAAACATCAATTCATTTTTCTACATGATTAATGTTTCTTTTTTAAAGATTTTTTTTTTGAGAGAGAGATCAGGGAGAGATGTGCTTAATAATTATTAAAAAGCACTATATATTATTTGTCATTTCTTGGCATGTTGAGCAATTCTACTTAAGATTCCAAGCATAGTTAATTCCATGTTTGATGACGTGGGGGCAATAAGGAAGCATCCATACAAAATCCCCTAATAATTAGTCTAGTGCACATGGCTTGCTTCGCATGGCCAAATCAAAGACTAGTTAGAGGATATACAGAAGCAATTCTTCACCACTAAAGCCCTGTCCGGCAAAATAATATAAATCATGATCATACAATCTCATTCTCATCAATTATACCTTAGAAGCAAAGAACACCACTTATAAAAATGCAACTATTGTAAAGCTCTATCATGTGGTTCAATTATTAACTTATTTAAATATTATAATACAGTTGTTTCATTTTAGATTGCCTTTCCAGACGATTAATGGATAGAAACAAGATAATTTTCTTGAAATTAGGTACCTTTTCCTTTTGTTTTTACACATTAGATGTATAGGTTAAGGAGTTGAAAATATTTATATTTATTCTTTTAAGTAATTTAAAATATATAAAAAAATGTATATTTAACGTTCTTTTTAACCTATGCACACTTAGTACATAAGATAAGAAAAAAAAAGAATAAAATATGAACCATCTAATTTTTCTTTTTATATTTTGAAGAATTAAATCATTCAACTCCCAAACTATATTGTTTCTTTTTATTGCAATTATTATTCAAATTCATTAAATTTATATCAATCATTACTTTCAATGCTAATGATTCATTTATGTCCTCATACATAGTGACAAATTAGATGATTAGCACAAACATTGTTGTTTTATATTTTTAAAAGTTTTAGAATCACATTTTGCTTCAATAATTGAATTTTAGTGAATGAATCTTGATCTAGGTACTAGTAGTGGTCATTGGAAGTGGGATGAAATGATTGGCTAGGCTTTAGGGAGCTTGTGAAAGCATTACTTTGACTGGGAAGAAATGATTTTGTTGAATCCAACAGCATGCATATGGACCTCGTTGCAGTGATTGAAACAATTAAAATAAGCGAAGACTAGTAATATAATATTTAACACATTTTTTAACATAATTTTAATTATTAATTAAAATTCATTAAAAGCTATAAAAAATATATATTGGTCTTCTTTTTTTTAATTATATTTTCCTTGTATTTTTATAGTTTTTAATAAATTTTAATCATTAACTAATAATATATATTTTTTAAATACAGTAAAGAGTGTTTTTTTAATATTCTTCTTACAATTTCTTATGATAAATATATGAAAAAGAACCTTGGTAGTAGCCATCTTAAAATAAACCCTTATTTTTTGCCATATTAATGGAGAAGCCAACATGTTTGTAGCTTTATAAATCAATATATTTTTTTCATAGTGTTGAGACTGTCTTATATATATAAGAATTGAACGAAATGTTAACTATAAAAAATACACATTTTTTATTTGATTTGATTTGTAGGTTTTTTTTTTTACTTGAGATTGAATTATAAGTCTAATTTTATATTATTTTTAAATTTTATTCATATATAGTTGTTAACTTACAATATATTTGTACTGAACTTATTTGTATTTTAATTTTATTTTATAATTTAGACTAAATTATGATTTATAATGAGGTTTAACATTTTTAACAAGTTATATATATATGTGCATATATATATATATATATATATATATATTTCATGCTTTTGACTTTTTTGTAATAAAGGTTATATCTTCAATGAAAACCCAAGTAAGACAAAATAAGACAAGAACTGAAATAATAGTTCAATCTAAATGGAAAAAACTTAAATTAAATTAATTCAATTTTAATATTTTTGTCAAATAAATCTAACCAAAATCTTTTAATCAGATCGAATAATTTTTTACCTCAAAAATAATTTATACCAAACTATGAGCACTTCTATTATTTTCATCCACTTTCTTAAGCATGGCATCTTAGGCTTCTTGGTTCTGTATTCCTACTTTCTAGTGTTTGGTATATAAAGTTAATATTTAAAATCACACTCCAAAATATTCGCAACCGTAACTAATTAATATGTTACTACAACTGCATGGTCGTGATTTTGCACATTTGAACATGGTCGCAACTTTACATAATTTTATGTAATTTTTAGAACTGTAAAGCAATGATGTAATTTTTATGTTGTAATGCAATTGCAATCACGAGAGAACTTGTAATTTTGAACCTTGCATAAAAATTAATAAAACAATATATATATATATATATATATATATATATATAATATTTTCCGTTGACAAATAAATTCATCGAGGTCAATAGAAGATACTAATATTGATTTAAGTTAAATAATAGTTTTAGTTTTTATTCATGAATTTTTTATTATTTTAGTATTTATGTGAAGAAATTTTGTCTATTGACTCTTGTATAATTTTTTTAAAATTAATCTTTATTATCGTTAAAGTTATAAAAAGGTATTAATATTTTTTTATTGGATATCAAAATTAAAAGCAATATATTATGTGTAATACTAAATTGTAAAACTTGTATACAAAAAGATTAAAATAAAGTGTAAGTTAAAAGAATTAAAACAAAATTACAATATAAGATTTAATTTTGATATATCATTATTATAAATGTTTTACTGTGTCAACTAATTAAAAATCACGTTGATATTTTTTTTTTAATATGATTATTACAGTAGTCAACAGTTATATTAAGAATATTAATTAAATTCTGTAATATATTAATTAATTCTTAATAACTATTCAAATTAAAATTCAATTAAAGTATTATATTCTTAGTTCATAATTAATTAAAACTATTCAATTAATAAAAATAATTAATTAAGAAACTATTCAAATTAATTAGACAGCAAAAATATGCAAATTTTGAATTTAAAGCTGATTTTGAATTTTGATAGGGCAATTGCAATTATTATTTTTGGGAACTTTCCCTTGCCTTCAGCTTTTTCACTCCCGCTCAGCCTCGCAGTGTCCGCTCCTCGCAAATTCTCACCTCCGGTGTTCCGCACCGCCTCTCCGGCCGTCGTCTCGCCGCCCTCGACGGTGGTGCACCATCGCAACTCAGGTTTCTCCCTCTCTCTCTTGCTCGCTCTTTTGTAGTTACATTTCTAGAGATCGTGCTTGTTTTTCTGGCAATGCTTTTAGATTCCACCATTGGAAACCTTCGAACCCTACTCAGGGCAATCGAAGATGCTTTGTTGAGTGTCAACTCACCAAGCTTTAGTAATTGCCCTAGTTCACAAGTCTTTGCTTAATATTGTCGTCAAAAAATATATCCAGAATTTCATTAAAAAAAAAAAAAGAGAGAGAGAAGAGAAGAAGCAAGGACGTTGCTTGCAGCATTTAATGAACTAAAATTTAATTGGCAACAATTGTTACGATTAGGAGTTAGGACTGGTGTGTTCTTTTTTGACAGGTTGCATACAATGAAGGTTAACGTATGAAAGGTTATTTGCATAAATACGTTGTATAGCCTTGGAAGCTTCGGTAACTATGATTTCTAAATGTGTTTTCAAATAACAAACTTTATGATCATCTCTCAATGAAACCATCAATATGTAAGCAACTCAAACAAATTCGACTTCAGCCTGATTTCATGCAATGAGAGATGGCTATAATATCTTCACATAGTGAGTACTGAGGTAAAAGACCAATGAGAAGAAGAGTCAGATCAGGAAAAAGATTAATGACAAGATGGATTAGATCGGAAAGGAATGGAAAGACTTGGGAAAAGGAATATAGAATTCACTCCCTAGACGTTATATTACTGCTCACTCCAATGAAATATTGCAGCTGAGAGTTCACCAAGCATTTTCCCTGAAAGTTTGTATCATTTGACGTGTGTTTGTTCTTTAAAACAAACTCTTGATCCAATTGTTTGCTGATGTTTTTGCTTTTCACCCTCTGAGTTGTCCTTTTCTCTATCCATGCTGGTCTCCAACTCAGTTGGTCTCATTACAGAGGCCTTGCACATATTGTCAAATAGGTCTAAGTCAATTATATGGTTAAAAGAGATCATAATAAATAATTTATAAATTAATTTAGATAATTTTTTGAGTTCAAATTAATTTGGGAGATTTTAGGCTATTATGGGTAGATTGTTTACCTATTTTTGACTCTATCTGTCGCTGACTTATGTCTCAGCCTAGGATGATTAGAACTCTGTTGTTTGATGTGCTAAATTTTCTTAATAGAAAGTATTAAACTAAAAATTTGGATCTTTGATGTTAAATTTATGCACTTCATTTCGTTTTGAAAAAGTATATCATGAGGTGTAATTCCTGATATAACATTTTTTTAAAAAGTAAAAAAGAAAAATAAAGTATATAATATATTCTATACTTCCATCAAAATCTTCTTCAAGTTTTTATGTTTATTACAAAAATTAATTTTTAGTTTGCATTTTTTAATCTGAGAATTTTTGTTAACACATGATTGTTTCTGTCCATTGCAGGGACTTCATGAATAGTAACTTAGTTTATGTGAAGATCATAAGATGATGAGAAGACATTGTAGGCTTTGGTGGCCAAAGCAGCTCTTATCGAATCAAGAATCACCCTCCAGTGTTCTACTGGGATGGTTTGTCACCAGCTCACCATCATCCCTTGACATTATTGTAGCCCTTACTTGCAGTGAAGTCTTGCTTTCTAGTTCTAGTCATGGCATTGAGGTATAAGACTAAATTTGTCTTCACAATCCCTTTCTCTTGCATGTAGTTTAGAGTAGTAATCAAATGAAATAACAATAGCAGTAATGATTTAATTGGTTGTCTGTTTGTTACAATCATTAATTGTTGAGGAAGTTTTGGGCTTCCTTTTTTGTGATATTAATACTTTTATGTCTTGCAAGAGTTGTCAAATTTAAATGGAAATTAACTTTTTTCCTCTTAGAATATTCAGCAAGGGATCAGTATCTTGATTGATTTTTACCTAAATATTTGGTTCATGTGTGTAAAATTTATGCCAATATATTTGTGAATTTGTGGGAAAAAGCATATCAATTTAATGGGAAAATGAATTAATTTGAATGGGCATGAATCCACACACAAATGTATAACTATTATGTTTGCGTTAGTCATTGGAAATCTTGGTTCTATGACAGTATGACTGGTGGGAAAATCCCACTGTTAAGTCCTCTAATGATTCTTTCATACAAGTTGTCTTAAGTGGCTTCTGGAATGGTACAGTGTAATGACGATAACTGACATTATTAACTTCTACTCTCCGTCAGGGGATCATTCATGACACTTGTGGGAGCATGCCTGCACTTCTTCAGGATAAGTCCAAGTTCTCTGTACTTGGTCTGTGTGTCACTGACCCTAATAATACTAGTAATAGTTTGACAGATGAGACAGAAGATGACCAAAAAAGGTTCTCTGATTGCGGCAATGCTTTGAAAGAGGGAAGCACATGTACATACAGAGAGAATAACTGTAGGAGTTGTCGTTGTGTCCAGTTAGATGAATCATTGAGGAAAAGTAGCCAATCTGTTCTTGGAAAAAGTAACTGGGTCCTACTGACGTTTGATTCTCCTGAACAGAATGATGCAGGAATGCGCAGGCTTCCAAAGCTGCACCACATTCATTGGGATGGACTAACTGTGTTACAATATGATGTTCACGTATGTAAGTCACTGTTTCTTCTTCTACTTCTTGCCTCTGCAAATAGTTGTCATTTTATAATATCCTTCTCTCAAACAGATATATATGATATGATATTTAACCACTTGTAGGTAATAATTTATGAAACACCTTATTATGGTGTTCATCATTTCTCATTATGTCATTCGGGTTCAAATGAGCAAGCAAAAACTTCCATTAAAAATCCTAAGTGGGTCGATGAGCTTCATAAAAAGCAGCAATTCATTGAATTGGTAATGGAATTTACTTTATTCATATTTGTGTACGCCAATTTTTTTCATAGTTGCTAATCCGCCTTTTCAAAATTTCACCCCAGGATACAGTTATTCTGGCAATTAATTGCACCGCTGCTGCTAAAAGAATATTTGAGGGACATGTGGTCCCAAGAAGATCCTTAAGCCCACTCTCCATATTTCCCATGTACACACTTTAACTGTTAATGCACCATCTCGTGCTTACTTGATCTTCTTGTTCTGATGATCTATATTGTCACTTTTCAGGTTTTATGTTATCATTGGGCATCTGTTTTCCAAGTTTGTGGCTTCGTTCTCCACTGTATTCTATGTTGTTCTTCAATTTGTCCGAACACATTTTAATTATGAATCAGAATCATGGATGTTTGTGACATCAGCAAATGTATTCAGGACAACTGCTTGGATAAATATACGAATCCGTTGTTGTCAGATATTATATTGGCCAATTTCTCTTCAGGAGAATGACCTCAGGTAATATTAAATTTTAGGTAATCTATATTCCTTTGTCTGATTTGTAGCAGGTTTCAAAATTTGGAGATGGCAGGCTTTAATATATGATGAAGTCCATGTATTTTAATTTCTATTGAAATACTAGTTTTGTTAGGGATATTAAAGAAACCAAATGCAACTAGACTGGTTAAACTGAATCAAATTGTGATTCAGCTCAGTTTCTTTACTGTACAAAAGAGTGACCTGGTGCACAAGGCTCCCACCAAGTGGGTTTTAGGGAGAGTAGGTGTATGGAGCGTTACTTTGCATAATGTTGTCAAAATCAAGATCCTACATAGGATTGGAAATGGGGGTACAATATCATAAATCATAGGATCGTTACAAGTATCGGTAGATCGTATCAAACATATAAAATTATACCTATGTAAATAGAATATAACATCCAAATACATAAACATGAGCTTAAAATTGATAAGTTTAAGATCCAAACCATAATTAGTCAAATAAATACTAACATAAGTATATTATAAGAAATATGAATTTTTCAACCCAACATAAGTGTTCAATTCTACTACTAAACTTGGGAGCCACGAGTCCAGCCACAGAAAAAATAGACTGAACAGAGAGCATGCGGTTGCAGATAACAATCACAAACAGAAGAAGCAACTGCATGAACAGGATGCAGTCTTGCAGAATGCACCTAGCAGCTGTTGCAGACTCAGAGAGTATCCAGTGCAATCGCAGAGAGCAGTAACACCAAAGAGAAGCAGAAAATGAAGAGACCCAGGCAGCAACACGAAACAGAGTACCCACTCTCAAAGAGCACAAAGTGCCACTGTGGAAGGCAATTTGGAAATAGAGAAGGTGAGAAAACATTGACCTAGTTTGGCATCATTGCACAAGACCTAGGGATTTAAGATGGAACTCTTTTTTTCAAACCAGGTTTGAGATCCAACCTGAAAATCCATCTATACGAAGATTGGATCTAATCTTAGATCGTACAATTCTACCAATAAAGATCACGATCTGCTGTGATCCTGCAAATGGTTAAGATTGCTAAACAATTATGATGGCAATCTTGACAAACAATGTGGAAAGGCTATCTCCAAGATTTGAACCTATGACGACTTCCCAAGCAGAAGGCAACAACTACCATTTGCGCCAATGTTGGCCCTTCAGTTTCTTTACTGAATACAGTTTGCCCTAAAAATTTAGGATGCTAGAACAAATCATATGAACTCAATCTTATTGCATATACTAATGTGATGAGGCATGGGATTGGAATAACAAAATATGGAATATTGATATTAGTATTTTTAACTCTATTTTTTTAGTAATTAGGGCTACTTTGTGAGGGTTTGTGTCTATGAAGCACGGTCTCCAACACGAAAACTTCAAACTAATAATCAATATTTGTGTTTATTTTACAATGGAAGTATTTAGTCTTCCCATTCTTGTATATCTATCAGTATGTGGTCATCTGGGTCAATTCAAATGTTTGAGTTGACAAAAAATTATTTTCTAATTAGACACTTACTGAAGTATGTCTAAGTTTGACCGGGGTTGGATAGGTGTCAAAAAAGTCTAGGTGCTGGAAATGTGTTCAACACTGTAATACTTTGAACAAGAGAGCTGTCCATGCTTCATAAGTTTGTATACTTTGGAATTGCTATGTTCTTAGAGATTTATTGACCTGAATTCGAGATGAATTGAGCATTATTATTTTGTTTCTTCCCTCTAGGTCTAATCTTTCCCTTGTACCTTGCTTTCTTTGTTCCTTTCCCTTAATTATCAACATCAATATTTTCATACATAGGATTTTAGTTATATTGAAGTTGTTGGCTCTATGTTGCATGTTACTTATTGACTTTGGACCATTGCATTTATGATTTGTTAAGATGTTTCCCACGTTGACTCTGAATATAAGTCCAATTTGGGTGACTTTGTGAATAAATTTTTATAAGAGAAAAAAAACAATATGAAAAATGAATAAAATTTTTCTCATAGTTAGAAACAACTAACTACTCAATTTTTAAAAAAGTTAAATGAAAGAATTTCTAAAAATAATAGAGAAAAATAAGTGGGGTTTGATTCATTTTACTACTTAATTTTTTACTCCTAAAAGTATTTTTTAAGAAATTTATCCAAACTGAGCCATAGTCAAAAAGCTTTTTATAAGACTCGGGGAATCCTTCCTTCTTGAGCTTGTTTTTAGGGTTAAGTTAGGCCCAATCCATTAACGATTCAGTATTAGAGCTTCTATGATCAGGTGGTCTAGAGTTTGATCCTTGCCACCTCCATTCTTCTAATTAACAATGTTTAATTTGAGCACCAAATTAAATGAGTACCAAACTGAACTTGACCAGGAACACCCTAGTTTTTAAAGCACTATATTGTTTAGTCTGAAACAAATTTTCTTTGGTTGAAGTTGAAAACTATATCTTCTCTTTGTATACGCCTCTTCATTGTTATGTTGCCCATTATATGTGGTGATCTTTTTTGATAAATGTAACTTAAATTGACCTTCTAAATTAGATGTTTTGTTTTTATTTTGAGATAATTATTCACTATTCTTAACCATCTTAACTTTTAGATTGATTTTATGTTTTCCCCATGTTTAACACAATTCTTTTCTGTGCAAGGCCACGGTCATGTGTTGAATATGCAGAGAAAGCTGCAATGCATAGGCATTCTATGTGGTCAACTTTGGTTGTTGATATTCTCCTTGGAAACTTGGTTGGCTGGGCATTATTATATCATTCAGATTATGTTTGCTTGTCAGTTTTGGACTTTGTCCATGGGTTTGCCACATTTTTGCGCTCTGGGTGTGTGTGGTTGATGGGAAACCCTGCAGGCTTCAAATTGAATGCTGAGCTGGCTGGAGTACTTGGCATGGTTTCTTTGAATGCAATCCAGATATGGTCAACACTCTGGATCTTTGTGGGTTTCATCTTCCGTTATATTATTCTAGGGATTTCTGTTTTAGGAATCATTTGTGGATTCACTGTACCAGCTGCTTTAATCATAGACGTGATTGCACTAGCAACTTTACATGTTTCAACTCTTCATTGGTTGGTTTCACTTTTATATTCATCACAAATACAGGCATTAGCAGCGTTGTGGCGGCTTTTCAGGTAACGAATTATTTTTCATTTTTAGATGATTGGTTACAAGTAAGGAACTGATTTGAATGATAATTCATTGTCCTAATTAGGTATTTGATTTATTGATGGAACTTTCTGATATAATTGGTTTTTGACATTTTATTAACTTTCTGCATGACAATTTTTTGAAACAATTATTACAAGTTGGAGATCCATATGCTCGCTAAATAGAGTGCAGTGGTATCCTGGGTCAAATTTGTCCTTTTTCCTGTGGAGAACTATACTTTTATGTTATCCTTGATACGTTTGCTATAGTGCACCTCTGAAATCATTGGCAATGAGTAATACAGCTTATGTTTAGAAGTGGAAGCTTTAGTAAATTTGAAGATAATTCTTGATATAAAAAAAAGTGGAGATCATGAGTGTCCCTTGTATTTTCTGATAGCCATAATATTTTCTGCACATCTATATTTTTATATTCAGTATTCATGTAGCCGACCTCACCTGGTAAGATAAGGTATGGGTGTTGCTGTTGTTATTCTTTTGAAGAATAATTGTTAGTCCTATATTTTGCATGCATACTTGCTCCTTTCTTGTGTGTTTTCATGATATTGCTGGCTATTTGGCAGGGGTCGGAAGTCGAATCCTCTTCGGCAGAGGTTGGATAGCTTTGACTATACTGTGAAGCAACATATTGTTGGATCTCTTTTATTTACGCCACTTTTACTTCTTTTACCAACCACTTCCGTTTTCTATATATTCTTTAGTATTGTGGACACAACCATTAACCTCGTATCTCTGCTCATTGAAGTCACTATTTCGGTTATTCATGCTACACCTTATTCCAAGATATTTCTTTGGTTTGTGAGACCAGAAAGATTCCCTTCTGGAATATGGTTTGAAATTATTGGTTGTCAGAGTAACAGTACTGTTTGTCCAAGTGCTGATTTTACTGATAGAATGACCTCATCCAAGGAATCGTTGCATCTAAAGGATAGAGAAAAATCTAGTATTCTGGTTTCAGTCCTCCACAGCAACTACTTAAGCATAGGTGAGGCCCAAAGCTATTACTTGTGGATTCAGACTAGTGCTTCTATTTGGTTTCCTTTGTTTGGTTATCAAGATATGCCAAAATGTTGATTAATAGGGAAATTGAATATTTGCATCACGGGGTCAATGTGACTGTTTATTCTTTCAAAGTGGGTAGTGCTTTATCAATGTCTGGGGATTTTACTTAGAAGAATTTGGATCTACGTTGTGAATTATCTGTGATGATGTGTATCATAGTAAATCAGGCAGTGATGATCTGCCTTTAGTTTTGATCTGCCTTTAGTTTTGTTGTGGTAAGTTCCTCTCTGCCTGGCTGTATATCCAGATAAAAGCAACATATCATAGTGCCCGACATCATCAAACATTTGGTGAAGCTTTTGTTTGAAAAGATTGAAATTTCAATTCTGTAATATTTCCTCTATATGATTTTGATAGATGTGTGACCTGGGAGCTGTAACACTTTACATTTATGCCACTGTTGTATTGTTGCATGTACAAACATTATTTACTTACTTCAATGGCTTAAAATTCAGGAAAAATTATGTTGCCTCACTTCAAAGATGTATTTTCGGGAGTTTCTGGGTCATTCTTCTCCACAGTGGCATATGGAATCCTCATCGGGCAAAGGTGTGATATATTGGTGCCAAGTTGATATAGTATTTGTGATTTGAAACTACTTCCTATTTCTCTGATTCTTTGTTTAGTTTTCATTTAATAACATTTGTTTTCCCATTTCTTTTACTCCCTCATTGGTCAGAATGCCATCTCTGCGTGGCACCCTTCTTCCTTCGCCAATGCCATGGACGTCTCTGCCTTACAAAGATTATTGGCGCCTTTGTCATGATTCACTTATTGCATGCTTCAGATGATAATGGTTGTGGCTCAGGTTTTCTTCTTCGTTTTCAATATATATATATATATATATATATATATGTTGGGTACAACTAGCTCGGGGATTTAATTGCACAGATGTCATCCAGCTTGCTTCTCTCATATTAGTGGCTTTTTCTCCTTTCAATGGGTAACGTATTCTTCCCTAATTCAGCTTGTTCCTACTCTTCTAAGCATGATACAGTCGGCAATTTTTGTTTGGCCTTTCCCGATATTGAGAATGATGTGTGACGTAGAAAAATAGCATTATTTATTTATTTTTTAAATATATATTTTAATTCTTATGCTTGAGAGCTATTTCACTATTATTCCTTCTTTTTGTCATGAAACATTGAAAATCAAAGATGCGAGTTTATTTTGAGCTGTAGAAAATTCATGGGGTCTGGAACCTGTATCATAAGCTGTCCAATTTATTTGGGATATACGTATGTATCCAAAGCAATTATGCCCTAAATACGAAATGCCTCGATTGACAAACGAAATTCACTTAAGATATGTTTATCAAAATTAATATGATAGCTAAATGTTCGGTAAAGTTTGATTTTTTTACTTTCTTGATTAGTGCAAAATAACATAAAGACATTTAATTACTTAGCTATAACTGAAATTTTTTTAGATTATATTCATTTTAAATTATTATTATTTTCATATTTTAATTTATTTAATAGTTTATCATCTTAAAAATTAGGATGGTACTTTTTAGTTTTAATATTTTTATTAAATAAAATGATATAATATAAATATATTTATATTATCATTTAATAATTTTATTTCTTAAAAAATTGGTAGTGTGTTTAGATTACCGTTGCTTCAATTTAAACATGCGTATTTTTAACACTATCCAGAGTAGTTTTTACTCAATAAACATACAGTTACAAGAAATTTATAACAGCTAAACCAGACATGCAATTAATGTTGTTAAATTTAATAAACTAAGTTTGAGCCTCCAAGTGCTTTGATGAAAACTGTAACTATTGTAACGTGTTTTACATGTTTACGTCTGATCATTACATAACTCATGAAGGAAGAACAAAAATCAGTGAGGGTTGGTGCCATCAGCATATGCTACCACTAGAAAGTTTCTTTTCAATCAATTCAGGTCTATCTGTTTATCTTCAGTTATATATTTTGTTCTGTTCTTTTCCTCCCCGTCAAGAGGTGCAGCCACTATCTTCTTCAAATGAGAATGTGACCAAACAGAACAGGCCTAGTTCTTGGGCACTACGCGTCTCTGTCATCCTCGTCAACGACCACTATGTAATTTGATTAACGGAGTTGAATTTACTAACCCACTGAACTGAAACCACAAGACGTTAAGTTTCTGGTAAGTGGAGCATTCTGAATGTAAATACGCAATATTTCTGGATTCAGGTTACGTTCTCAGCTTCTGATTGCATCGTTTTAAGAAATAACCTCGTGACTAACAATGGAATACTTAGAAGTTTTGAACTAGTATGTCATGTCATTTGGTGGAGAAGACTGACATATTTTGATGTGGTTTTTAGTCAAAACCTTTTAAACCGTGCCGAATACAGACAAATGCTACTTCACGAGAGCCGTATAACAGAACAAACTGAATACCTAACCCTGTTGCTCTAACACTGGTTGAGATGGACGGCTAAACGCCTACAACTTTTTCTAATACATGAAAAACAGTATTTAATTGTACTTTTTTGTCTCCTCACTTCAGATTACGTGCAATTTTGGTTTCGTAATTTTTTCAATCAATTAAATTCTTAGTTTTAAAACTAAGCAAATTTGGTTCTTGATGATTTTTTATCTAACTAAAATTCATAATTTTTTTCTACTCAAAATTTCTTTTCATAATGTAAAATATCAATTCGTTTGCTTTTTATTAAGTTTTACTAAACTTCTTGATTCTAAACTTTGAAAAGTATTTTATGTCTCAATTCATGGTAAAATTTAAAATATTTGAATCGAAAATAATAATTTGTGGAGAAAAACATAATAAAGTGATTAAATTTGCTTAATTTTAAAATTAGATGGACGCATTCAGTTTTAAAAAAACTTAGGGACTATAATCATACATAATTAAAATTAGAGGAATTAAAAGTGTACTCAAGAAAAAAAAAAAAAAGATACTCCATACAGAAAAGAAAAAGGAAAGAAGAAAATGACAAAAAATGGAATAGGAAAAAACTATGTTTTCAAGTAATGGAGATCCAACAAATAGTATCACTAGTTTTACAAACGTGTTACTAGATGAGAGTTAGGAGGTATATGCAAGATGATCAATGCTTGAATTATGGATCTTGAAAAATCTCACATCCCTTTCCCCCTCTTCAATCCCTCTTCCCCTAATGACCCAAAAAAGAAAAGACGTGTTAGTTGACTCAATTCAATTGAGAAGTGCAAGAGTAACACGGAATTACTGTATAATGGAAAGGTCACTTTTCACATAACCAGCCGAAATAATTAATGGTTGCAACTGGAAAATCAAAGGGTAAAAAAATATCTATAATAAATGCATAAATTAGTTCACGGGAATGCTATTGAATATTGATTACTGGCAAGGATTCTCATACTGTGATGTCTGTATAAAGGACAAGGCAGAGCGAGAGTGAGAGGTTAGTGTATGGTATTTCCTAGTTCTTCTGTCGCGTTCTCAGTTAGTTACTCTGAGGGGGCATTGGGAAACCACATGGGAATGCACATGTGAAATGGTCACCTGTCCTTTTCATCCTAACAATTCACATGAAGTCACTCATCAGCCCCTAGTTTTAAGACTCAGCAATTCTTTCCATTCTAATATTTATTTTAATCCAAGCGTGTTATTTTACTTTTTAATTAACTAAAAAAATTATTTTATTTTATAATTTTATAAACTATTTATTTTAATCTTCCTTAATATAAAATATAAATGATAATAAAAAAAGAAGTGTAATAGGATTAAAGTAAGTTATTTTAAAAAAATTTAAAATGAAGTGAAATCTTCATATAAAGTTAAAGATTAAAATGATCAACACCCATAATTTTGAAGAATTAAAATTAGTATTTATTCAATTATTTAACATGCTTCTTTCATCTCTTTGGATCTTGTTTAAGACTCAGTACTTTCCTTGTCATGAACGCGGCTTCACCTTTTTAGATCAACTCACTGGCCTCAAAGAACTGATTTTCTACGTTCAAAATAAGACTGTTTGTTGGTACGATATAAACCGTGGATCAATGACAAGATATATCTAATGAATTATGTTGCACCACGTGATTAATTGTAGTGATTTTGATCGCAGAGAATCTAGATGTCATTTCATAGCAATTTGACTGCAGTAAAAATTTTGAAAGCTGAAATCCTTCTCAACATTCATGCACTTGAATATTAAATCGACCCCAAGATCCCATGTTTAAGAAATCTGAGCCTTTTCCACTTGAGCCAACACATGTTAGTTAGATAGCCTTTTCATCTCCATGCTATTTGTACATTCAATTGAGAAGAGAAGGGGGCTTAAGAAACTACATTATAAGGAGCGGCGAAAAGCTCATAAATAATTGTTGTGGCAAAGGTGGATAATGTGGAAGTGTAGGGAAGGGTATGGTTGTAATTGTCTTTGTCTGCATAGAGTCTGGAATTGTCTTTTTGGGAACACAAATGTTGGATTTTTGCTATCTAAAACTAAAACAACAACCAGCAGATTGGAATCTTTCCACCATTGATTTGAATTAGTTACATTTATAAACTACTTTAATGCAAACTAGGGTAATAATTGCTAATTATGTTGAGGTAGAGCTAGTTTTCTATGGCTCAAAATCTCTAGTAAACTGTTCCTGTGATATAAACAATAAAAAAAAAAAAAGGATAAATAAATAGTTATTCTCACTTTAGAGGAACTAAATCCATAGCTAACATAGTTACATATTGGCACATTTCATCTATAAAATAGCCTGAAATATCATGTGCCTATAAGTACGTATATCCACTAGTTCTTGAAGACCACACATGTGATAACTGCTCTTTATTTCAGCTTTTTTTGGTTTGTTTATGCGGCGTCCATTTTGAGCAATGGCGAGAAAACTATGCATCATTACACTATGCCTAGTTCAAATGCTGCTGCTTCTTGTAGAAAACCATGTAAGTCACAACAAATCTTATAGTTTTCTTTCTCATTCTGATAACTTCAAGTGCAGCTTTAATACTCTTGTTCTGTTCTAAGCTCTACATTGATACTTCCACTTGGAAATTCATCTATTTTTTTTGTCACAAGAAACCACTTCGCCTTTTCAAATTGTAGTTAATGTGGGACACCTGGCCATGTTTGAGTTTAGTTTGTTAATCTTGTTCATTTTGAGTTTTGCGAGACATGACATTCGTTATTTGAATTACTATAAATTAATTCGGTATATAATAATTATGCTTTCAGGCTGAGATCATTGTGTCTACCATTGAAGCTCCAGCTCCACAGCCTAGCAAAAACACTACCCACTTTCCCAATGTGAGTTATCTTTTTCGTTTTTGGGTACAATGTGAGAATTTTCTTTGATTCTGTTTTTGGTTTGGCCAATTTTGCTTACTGCATACTTCATAATTTACATTCTTCTTAGATGTATACTGTATATCGATTTCATTTTGTGTTAATTTCATTGTTTTTTCTTCTGAATTTCAGCATGGCATCACTGAAGGCAGTCTTCAACCAGAAGGTAGGAATTAAGGACATGTTATCAGATCAAAGTAGCTTCTATCACAAATTCACAACTAATAGGTGCCAAAAAAAGGGTCTTATTTCTTTGAAAAAATCTTAAATTCAAACCATATAAAGATGCTAAAACTCAAGGAACTGATTAATGATAAATGGTTAATGAAATTATTTTAACAAATTTCGTTAACTAGTTATCATTTATCAGTTCTTGCATTTAACGCTATTTCGACCACGGCCTTTTTTTTAACAATTCTTTCTCCCTTTTATTTCTTTCTTTCTTTCCATTTTTTTCATTTGTATTTGTTTTAAACTTTGATGATATAATCATTATGGGTGCACATTGTTGAATGCATCGAACTGAAGAATGTGGCCCACGTTGCACGGCTAGATGCTCAAAGACACAATACAAGAAGCCGTGCATGTTCTTCTGCCAGAAGTGTTGTGCCAAGTGCTTGTGTGTGCCTCCTGGAACTTATGGCAACAAGCAGGTTTGCCCTTGCTACAACAATTGGAAGACCAAAAGGGGAGGACCCAAATGCCCCTGAAAGTTATAACATCACCTTCTAAGTGTCTTACTTCATTTCTACCATTCCATGTATACAAGCACTACGTACCTACGAGATTGAAAGTGCCTTAGTTTAACTACGTTTGGTCTTTGTGTGTTTTTAGATTCTGCCTCAGGGAATAAGACAGAACACTTCCCGTATATAAGGCACACAATGCAAATAATGTGTCTTCCTAGTTATGAAAAATTTAATGATAGAATGTTATACATTAGTATTAATATATATGCTCCAAATTTTGTCCCCAACAATGATCTTATTTATATTTAATAGGATTGTGTAAAAGATACATGTGTTCTAGGAAATAAAATAAAATATATATATTCAGAAACTGTTGTTGGGAAAGGCTTTAAGAGACAAAATATATATACTCAGAATTTTGTTGCCCACAAAGAACCTATTTGTATTGAACAAGATTGCCTTAGGAAAAGATAACTGTGATCCATATTCTTGTTTATACAAAAAAGAATAAATGTATTATTACATGCTAGTTTTATGTATTCAGCTAACTTATGGGGCAGAGCCGAAGCAATATCAAAATCATAAACTATAAGCTCTTCAGCACTACGGTAAAAACAATGTTATTAAACGAAGTTTTGTGATGTCTTTTTTGCTTTGCTTCTAGTTTTACTATAGGCTAGTTTTTCTTTGTTTTCTCTTTTTTATTACATTATATATTATATTTTTGTTATTTTTTTCGCTTATTTTTTCTTATCTCTCTTTTCTTTTACCCATTTAATATCTCAAAATGAGTTGTGATAGAATCATTTTCCCAAATTAAAAGGACGGAAAACTCACCAATGCATCATTTGGCTGAAAAAAAGAAGAAAGTGTAATGCCATATCCTCCTATTATAAGTTCTTAATAATCTTCTTAATATTTTCTTTAATTATGTATTAAATAAAAATATAAATGTATTTAATGTCTTAAAATATAAAAGGTATTCAATTCTTTCTTTATTTAACAAGTAGAAATTTTTTAAAAGGATTTTATAGAAAAATTTTAAATTATTCAATAATGAGAGAATGAAAAAAATGGATATAACTCGTGATAGAAAGTGTGAGTGAAAAATATAAGAGTTGTTTAATTTATAACATGATAAAATTTAATTAAAAAGTCACATGAATGAAAACTGATAATGCAAGTTTAATTTTTGGTTTTAAAAAATGTTAAATAGTTTTAAATAGAAAAAAGTAATACATCAAATTAATTAATTTTTAAAATTATGAGTACCAATCTATTTGGTTCTTATATATATATATAAAAGGATCGTATATGGTCTATAAAGTTATTGAAGAATGACCATTTTTATTCTTATTGTTACAAAAATGACCGTCATTTTAATGCTTAATAATGATTAAAATATTTATATTTGATAGTTTTAAAAATTAATTTTAGGTATCGTGGTTATTAAATGAGAAATAATAGTAAATTTTATTTTTTAAAATACATTTTTTTTGTAATTGATCAATATTTTAAGAAGTTAAAACATATGCCTCTAAATTGATAATTATATATATATAATCTTAAAAATATAAAAAAATATTAATTAATTAATTAATTAATTTAATAATTTGAAGAATTTAAAGGCATAAAAAGTAAAAAATTTAATTATTTTTTCACTTACTTTCATTTTTTAAATAAATTGACTAATTATAATAAGTGTGTTGAAGAGTGTATTCATATATTATTAGTGTTGTTCAAAGTAAACTGTTATGATATTGAAATCTTAAAAACTAATTAGAATGTATGATTCTTATATTAGTTATTATAAACATAATTTTTTTTTCTTATATGAAAATTTATGATTAAATGATAGTATATATTTTTATTTTATTAGTGTATTTAAATTATATATTTTTTTTAAAAAAATGATAAAATATAATAAGTATGTTGAAGTGTATATTTAAAATAGCGTATTTTTATCATTCTTTAAAGTGAAATTATTACGGTACGAAAATCTCAAAAACCAGAATATTGAAATTACATATTGCAATTAAAAACCAAGAACAAAATTAACGTGCTTTTCACTTAGTTTGGATGGTAGGAAATTTAACATTTTCCTTGGTTTATACTAAAGAAGCTGTGAAAAATGAACAGGGGCAGGGAATGGACCATGGGGGACGACTGATACAAGGAATTTTATTTTATTTTAAAATATTAAATAATAAAAATATGTTTTATCAAGAAAATTATTATAATAAAAAACCTACTTTTTCATTAATTTTAATTTGGTATAAATATTTTAAATGTAATTATTTTTTAATTTTTATTCATTCAAATAAGTAAAAATAATTTTTTTTATCATTTCCTTTCCTTTTATTTTAATTCATTCAAACATAAAATATTTTTTTACTTTATTTTTTATTTTTTTCTTTTTCTTCATCTATTTTCTCTCTATTTTACCTTTCATCCAAATGGAGCCTATGTGACCTATGGACAAAAATGAAAAAAAAAAAAATTACATTATATTTATTACTTGTATATTTATAAGAATTTAATTACAATTTGTTATGAAATAATTTTAACAACTTTTGTGTGAAAGCTTTTGTATCAAATTATATCGTTTAAAAACTAGCAAGTGTGGAGTAGCTAAATGATAAGAGAAAAACAAGTTTTGATCAAGAGAATAAATTGAAAATTATATTAAAAAATAAGAAGTTTTGTTAACTAGTGTGTAATATATTATTTAAAAAATTCTAAAAGTATTTAAATATTGATAGAGAAATAAACAGTATTTTTAAAATTCTTAATGTGAATTTTTAAAGAGAACTGAGATTTAAAATTTTCTAACATAAAGAGTTTGAAAGTTGATCTATAGAAATTTAAAGAACATCTCTTTTACTCTTTCTTTTTTTATTTCATCCCTTTTCAAGTCTCATTTTTATTTAAGTGAGTTTAACTTTTATTTAAATAAAAATGAGATTTTTAAACTAAGTGAAGCTAACATTTTTTTATTTGTTGCATGAAGTAAAATAAAAATGTTATTTTCAAAAGTTTTTAAACATTGTAGACCATCGATTAAGATTAGATGGTTAAAAATAAAAAATAAAAAACTAATTATATAAATTAAATTTATAAAATAATACATTAATAATTTTATGTATGTTTGTATTTCTCATTTTCTTTTTTGTCTTTTTTATTTTCTTCTTCTTTTATTTTTATCTCATCAATTTTTTTCTGTGGCTATAAGTTATAATTCATAGCATTAAAGATTCACAAATATAAAAAAACACTAAAAAAAAATTAAAAACGTTGAAATTTTGAAATCTAGTTTTTTAAATCTTTTCAAGAGTTTGGATAAATCTCGAAGATATTAAAAAATTATGTCCTTTTTAAGTTTATGACATTAAATATAATAATATTAAAAAAATTTCACTACTTCTATGTCAGGTCTACCAAAGAATAGCATTTTTTACGTCACTACTTCCATAATCAATTTTCTTAAAAAATTGATGTAAAAAGTATATTTAAAAAAAAATGTAATTTTCTACTTCTCTTAAAGAACTTATATAAAAGGTTACATTTTTTCTTTTAAAAAAATTATATTCTATATCAAAGAGTTTTCATAATGATTGTGATGGATAAAAATAAAAAAGGGAATAAGAAGGAGGTAAGAGAATAGGATGTGATAGAAAATAGCATTTTTTAAATTTTTTTTTTATCTTCTCCTAACAACCGTTCATCTTCTTAAATAGTTTAGAATCAATATTAAAATTTAAAAAATTCTAATAAAATCAATATTATTTATACATATTTCTGTCTATCATATTATAGGTAATTTATGCTTATAATATAATATTAAAAATTCTTTGACTTCTGTGTTTATAAAAGAAAAATCAGCAATTAAAAGAAAAAATTAGAGTCTCTGGGTCAATAACGGTATAAATATAAAAATAGAATAATTTCCTTTTTTTATCTTTTATGACTAAGATTTAATACAGATTATTTGTATAATTTTTTTCTCTTTCAATTCTAACAATTGATTTACAAGAAAATTAAATCAATAATCTTAAATAATTTATAGTTTATTTATTTAAAAGCATTATTTTTTAATTTTTTACTTTTCAAAGTAAATGGAAACTTAGCCTCGCTCTTTCTGGCAAAATCTAAAGTGTTGAAGTAATTTAATACATGAGAGCGAATAGAAAAAAGTCTGAATTTTCGCATGAACCTAAGAAAATCCAGATCCATAATCGTCATTTGAGTTTTACGTGGAAACCTTGATATTATTAACGGTTATAATCATTCATCGAAAGTTGTGTCCTAAAGTTTTCATATTATTTGTCATTTTCGATCAAACAAGGAGGCATCACATCTCCTTAACAAGGTGCGAATAGTGTTTATAGACAATTATTAGGAAGACTTGTTTTTAATATGACATGTCTGAATATTCAAAGAGTGAAGTACTTGCAGATTTATATTTTGGAATACGAATTTGAATCTTTACAAGGTTGATGCATACATTTTTCTAACATACTTTTTTTTATCATTTAAGATTTATAAAAAGTATCAAATCAACACTAAAATTTATGTATTTTGTTTAAATTTTTAATATATTTGAATGATAAAAATATATTTAAACGGGTATTTAAGTTATGTTAAAAATTATGATTTAGTTTTATAATACATAAACAATCGTAGAAGTAGTACCACATGAGAGTGTGCGTCATTGGAACGCAAAGCAAAATAATTGGCTTGATAAGTAAGTAGACAGAAACCACATAAATTGGAAAGATAGTTTTGCCTTTCACCCACACGATTTACTTTTCATGAGTTGGCTTTGTTAGGTGGCACATACTCTTAATGCTAATTCCTACCAACCCATGACCCATTGTCATGTCACCAAAGCATGCAAGATCTTTTGGCACAACTCATGGTCCTCCGTCATTCTTATTCCTTTTCTTTCGGTTTTCGATTATTCATATTTATATATCATATTCCACATCTTATTAATTCATATAGTCAGACAATTATTTCATTCTTCTTCCTTCTTTTCACAAACAATAATCATTTAATATTCATACACTTATTATTCATTTGATTTAAATTTCAGTAGAGTTAATTTAACTCAATTTAAAATAATTCTTATATTTTGTCTAGTTTTTAATTTTAATTTTTATATAAAAAATTGTTATTTTAAATTTTACATAAAAGTAATTATGAAGAGGTCCTTCACTTAAATTTGCCACTGTTATAATGGTATTAATATTTGATAATATTTTTTCTTTTAATTTTTATATAAAATAAATTAACACTTTGTTTTTATATTTGTATGAAAATATTTTTATATTTTAGTTTCTTTACCCAGCAATACTATAATATTTATAATATCAACAAACAAACAGCAGGAACAAATTTATTTATTTATTCATGTTGAGACTAAAGTATAAAATAATTTTATGTAGTAACTAAACTTAGAAAGAATGTTACGTGTAAGGACTAAATTTAAAGTTTAACTGACTTATTTTTAAAAAAATAATCTTGAATCATTGAACATAATTAAGAACCTGTATAATTTATGTGAATCACACATTTTTATTATAACTTGTATTTTTTTATTAAAAAATACAATAAATATTTTTCGAACAATAAAACAAATAAGTCGGTACATATTTAAGATTATTTATTCCAAACATCATTGGCCTAATTCGCTGTTATATCGAATTGGTCGGCTAAAGATTACGAAACTTAGATAATATTATGGTCAACTTTATGTAAAATAGTATATATTGAAACCTTAAATTTTTTGTATCAGTCCAGTCTCTACAAAAACGGAATCATTGTTTACGCAAGATGTTTGATGAATAAATTAATGCAAAATAACACCAGTACTGCTAAGCTAAGTAGATTATATTTTCTTCTAGTAAAGCATATTCTTTTTTTATCAAAGAAGCATATTCTTTTTACAAGATACTGTGGTATATTATACACGATGCTACTTCCATTTTCTAGAGAATCTTACTAACTACTAAGGCTTTTTAACAATTTCGTTTTACCCCTGAAAAATATAACAATTTTATTGACCTCAACTCTTTTATTTTATATTAAGTATACAATTATTATTATTATTATTTATTCAAAACATTTATTATATAAAACTTCAACTTAGGAACAGAAATTAATAATTTTTTGGTTTAACTAATAGGGCAACACGTGCGTGATTAAACAGTTTACTATGTATGTAAAAATGATTAAGATCGCAGAAGCATATTGGTGGGATATTCGCATTGTGTTCCAGAAGTAGCAGTCTGCGTATGTTGCACGCCGAGAGGTTTGGCAATTGGCATGACGGCATGTTCTCGCACGTTGATTTTTGTTCATTTTTCTGTGTTTTCTTTTCACATGTGTCGCTATTCAATTGTTGGAAGAGTTGAATAATGTTTGATGTGATGGACAATTCAGAACCGCGATGGCTGAAGCAAACCAATCTTGACTTTGCCCATTTAAATTAATTCCACACAACATCGTTGACTAATAGAGAGACACACTCTTGAATTTTCAATTTGATTTGGGCACATGCATTGTACCCAATTTTCTAGTATTTGTCCAATTTTCTTTTCCTTAGAAACTTGGAAGCAAGCATAGAGTTGTATCATTCGTTTGTTTGGCAAGGGAAAAAAGATTGAAGGAGGCAGAGAAATGAAGTGAAGAACATACAATATCCGAACACAAGCTTCAATTTTATTGATTTTCATCCTCTATAAAGTAGGACCTTTGCGGTGGTGTGGCGTAAACTAAGTAAAATATTAACGAAAAGCAACATAGAGAAAAAGCAAAGGGATTAGGAAGTCCCTTAAATAATTTACATGGTCCTAAGCAAAAAAAGATGATTAAACAATTGAAGAGGGTTGATCATCATCTTCATCTTGAGCATTCCAAAGCAGCGAAGAGAGTGGGTGTGATGAGAAATTGGAGGGTTTGTTGTTGTGAACAGGAGCAAGAGAATGGTTGTTGTTAGCAAAAACAAGGGAAGTGGTGGTGGGTGGTAGTTGGGGGTGAAGATCTTGAGCATGAGCATGAGCATGAGCATGAGGATTTGAGGTTTGAATGGGAAGAAGAGAGGGTTTGGTGGAAGAGGGCTGTGGTTGGGGACGAGGGTAGAAGAGATCAGTGGGGAAGAAGTTGTATTGTTGAAGCCCAGCCATTCCTAAAGAGAAGACAATTACAAGAAAAAGAGTATCTAAGTTTTGTTTCTTAGAGCAATTGCTTTCGTTGGCGGTTGTATTTATAGACACACAAAAGACGTCAACGTTGTATTTTGGTTGCCTTGGGAATCAACAACGTTTCTTGGAGAAGGGGAAGCCGTCAGAATGCATTTTCTGAATTTTTCGTTACTTCCCTCCAATCCATCGATGTTAACAATTACCCTTTCCTTATTGCAATTCTTGTTTATAAGTATTCTAATGCTATTAATATTAATTTATATTATTTTTATCATATTACCTTATCATTATTTTTTTCTAAATATATATAATGTCTGAGGGTCCAGATAACAATTTCTGTTTGTTACACTTAATATCAATTTTTCTAAATTGCATATAATCTTAACTTGTCATATTTAATTTGATTAATTATGTTTTATTTTTATTTTTATAGTTATGCAAATTTAAAACCAGTGTATAAAATTAAGTAATTTTTTTTCTTTTGTCAATCTTCTTTTACACAACCTCAAATTATTTTTTGAATATTTAAGAGATCAGAATTGAGATATCAAATTAATTTCAAATTTTTAAAATAAAAAATTTAAAAGATTTTATACTATTAGGATAGAAAAGTTCGAAATTTTATTTCAATTAAAATTTAATATTTGTATTAGTGAGTTTTGAGTAAAATAATTAAATAATCTGTAAATATTTTAAATAAAAAATTGGAATATAAAATATAATAAAAAGCATGATAAATATATATAAATCCTTTTTTTATAAAAAAATTCTTTTTATTATTGTCTAAGGACATTAATTTTTAATTTGTGATTTGTTAGTCACCAAGCTTTCATACCAAGGTGAAGCTGAAGAGAGAGAGAGAGAGAAAACTCAAATTTATTGATATTTAAAGTATTTATGTGTTTACATATTTAATAATAGAACATTGATGAATAAAGATAATACTCGCAGTCTATTGTTTTTCCAATATTTCGTTGTATATTCATTCGACAAGTAAAGTACTACACATATACATGTATACAAAGACGAAAAAAACACACGAATAAGTTTGTAATATACAATTTTTAAATTTAAATATATTTTTAAAAATTATATATAAGAGACAAAATTAATATTGTTAACAATAGATAAATTTCATTTCAATTGATTTTTGATTTTGGCAGCAATTCCATACATATTATCCAAAGTTTTTACTCTTTTATTAAAATTGTTTTATAAGAAAATCACCACTTTAAACATATTCTTTTTATCTTTAAAAGTAATCTTTTTAATCAAATTTTAAAATAATAGTCATTTTACAATTTTAAGACAATTGATTTTTTCTTTCTATTTTACTTTTAAGATAATTCTTATTTTAAAACCTATTTTCTATCTTCTTTATTGTATATACAAAGTCTAGATAGTAAAAAATTCTTTTATATTAGAAAGTGAATTAAAAAGTTTACAAACATGTTAAATGACATATAACGATTGATATTTAAATAAATTTATTTATTAATTTATCATATAATAAATACTTTTCTATTAGAAAGTGAATTAAAAAAAATATAACTTTTTATTCATAAAAATGACAAATCAAAATTAACTTGGAAAAATAGAATAAATTCTTTTTTGTGGAATAGAAATAGGCAGAATGGTCAGATTCAGGACACAACACACAACTCACATTGGTTGGGCCACCCTGTAATCTTTGGGCCCCAATAAGTTATTATTTCAATATTTTTTAATACTATTCTAAAGTTTGTGGTAATTTCTTTTTGTACCTTTTTAAAAACTGTCACTCTTTTTCTATTTTTTGAAAATAAAATTTCAAAACGTACTAATTATTCTAAAAAATAAATTCTCTGAATTTAATATTAGAAATGTGGTTATGAAAACAGCTAAATTTCCATATGTAACAGTGTCTATTGTAAGAAGAAAAACCATAAGCCAATAGGGGGTGTGTGAGATTGTTTTTAGTGGTAAAATAGAAAAATATTATTCTATTGATTATTAAATTTATTTTACTTATCTTATCCGACCTTAGAAAAAGTAATACAAAACTAGGGCAGAAAGTAACATATTAAAAGAGTTGAGAATTGAATTATTGCTTACATAAATAGTTGTTTTTGTAAACATTAAATTTTGTTAAATTAACTATTTATTGGTGGGTTCGTTCCTCACAATAGTTTTTGGTATCCCTTGCTATGTTAGTTGAGTAAAATAAATGGCCAACATATTTTCCATAAAACCTATATGTAAATACCACTTCACCAAATTAATAATAAAAAAAGGGAAATAATTGTTTATCTTCTCTGTTAATAATGTCTACGTTGTTGCGAGATACATTCCTTTAAAGCACTGATCAAAGAAATAATTGAAATATTTAAATTTTTTTATTAAAAATACATAAAATATATTAAAATTACATATATGATATTTTTAATCAATATTTTTATGACACTGATTAGCTTCTTGCATACGTTATTAATTCAGTTAAAGGCACTTACCTCCTATATAGAATCTTGGAGGTTCTTAACTGAGTAAGAGTTTGAGTTGGGCCTCTGAATCCTTAGATGGGCCCAAGTCCTTCCATTGGTTTCAGCACGTTTACACTTTTTGGACTTCAATTTCCATTGCTTCGGAAACAACACAATCTTGACAAGTAATAATGCTACGATCGATAAATAGACAACTATTATTGGCAAATTTTTTTGTGTGAAAACCAAAAATATCTTATTTTTATTTTCGTTCCAGTTTGATTTCCATTTAAACTTACAACAAATACTACTAATATATTTTTTAAAATATTTTATTATTAATTAAAAATCATACCGAAACCATTAAAATAATGCAAACTTCATTTCTTACTTAGGGAGTCTCACATATAATTTAGCAAATTTCAATAAATTTAATTAATCATAACATATATATTAAAAGCAAATAGATAATCTTATGTTCAATATTAAAATGACAAGTATTTTTGAATTTTTTCAGTAAATATTGAATAAATAAAAGCTCTTCAATATTTATAAAACAATAAATAGATACACAATTTAGTGACTTATCGTACTCATAAGGGAATCAAATTTCATATTAAAAAAAACATTAACAAAATGTATTCCTATACATTTCTTTTTAAATTTATTAGTTTTCTTATTCTTTAGTGCCGTCATGCTTACCACGAAGCAATTATTTAAAATTTTTTGTCAAGATATGTGTTAACAGTGACCTTGATTCGAAAACTAATTATGAATTTTTTATAGTGGTTGTACGGTTAACAGAAAAAAGGTATCTTTTTTATCATTATTATTCAAGAAGAGAACAGAGGAGTGGTACAATTTTTTAACATATTTTATTTATTAATTAAAATTTATAAAAATATGAACAAAATTTATTAAACTAAGAGTAAAATTTACATTTTTTTTTAATAATTTGAACAATTTTATCTAATAATAAAAATATATTTAAAAAATTGTATAACATTTCTCTGTTCAAGAAATAAGCCTGAGCCAAACTGTGCAGGTTGGTCTAAAAACCAAACACAGATTATACAGATTTTAATTTAAAATACCACCTTGTTAAAATCTTGTTTAAAAAAGTTGAAAATAATAAATTTGTATTAAAAATACTTCAAAAAATTACAAGAACAAATACATATATATTTTAATAATAAAATTCTGGTTTTAATTATTCAACGTGGAACTAGTTAGCATCTTCTTTTAAGATATTGCACTTTCTTTCAACCCAAAGTTGCATGATAGAAATCAAATATAAATACGCGTGTTCCAGTTCCATCGATATACGGTAAGGGAGCAAAAACTAGGAAGGATGATGGTGTCAGAAACACAGGCTCAGGCGCCTCTACCTGTTATTGATTTCGCTGATGAAAACATGAAACCTGGTACTGACACATGGGTTTCATGTTGTAAAGTTGTGAGAAGTGCATTCGAGGATCACGGTGGATTCCTAGCACTCTACGACAAGGTTGATCCACTGCTCTATGACTCTGTCTTCTCTTCAATGGAACAACTCTTTGATCTTCCATTAGAAACAAAAATGCAACCCACCACTGATAAGCCTATCTATAGCTATGCTGGTCAACGCCCTGATATTCCTTTGTATGAATCCATGGCCATTGACAACCCATTAAGTGCAAAAGATTGCCACAAGTACACAACTATTATGTGGCCACAAGGGAATCACAGTTTCAGGTAATTAATCAACCGTTGGGTCAACAAAGTTCATTTAAAATTATGAAAGATGTTTATATCTTAAATTTTGGGTTTTAGCGTAACTAAACTTCAATAATCACTTTACCAGCTAATTTTGATAAACAATAATCACTTTACAAATGTGTTTAGTTAAATTGTTTATCAAAAGTTCCTTACTATGTTTCGGTGGATGTCCATTTTATTTTTAGTGAAAGTGTCAGTTCCTATACAAAGAAAGTGGCAGAATTAGATTACATTGTTAAGAGAATGGTGTTTGAAAGCTATGGGCTGGACAATCAGAAATGTGAGTCTTTGATTGAATCAACTGATTATGTGCTCAGATGCTACAAATACAGAACACCGAAGGTGGGTGAGACCAATGCAGGAGTGCATCCTCATACGGACTCAGGCTTCCTAACTATTCTGAATCAGAGGTTAAATGGCTTAGAAATACAATTGAAGGATGGAGAGTGGTTCCAGGTTGATGCCTCACCTTCTATGTTTGCTGTCTTGGCTGGTGATGCATTCATGGTAATTGTCTTTTCACCCTTTTACCTTCTTTTCTGAATAAATGATGTTCCTAAGAAATATTATTGATAGGCGATCCCCACACTCAATTGATTTATCTATGCCATCATAATTCAGCTCTAGATAATAGTTATTAAAATAGAAGACTCCAAACAATGCAAAATTACTATGAAATGGAAAATGATGCTAGCAAACTACTTTTTGTTTGCATGCTAACAATTTGTGATGCATAAACTTCTTAATTAATATTGTGTAACATTTGACTACATGATCTGGCAATTTGATTATTAACTAGCCCGTTAACTAAACTGATACGTGGTTAACAAAAAAGTGGTATACCTAATTCAAAGTGTACAAATTCTTTTGTGTGGATATCATTGCTGTTATGAATATCACTCTTCCATTAAAAGTTTCATTTTGCAGGTTTGGAGTAACGACAGGATACGAGGATGTATGCACCGAGTATTCATGAATTCAAATGTAGACAGATACTCCTTAGGGTTGCTTTCATATGCTGGTAAGGTGATGGAGCCACAGGAAGAGCTAGTGGATGAGGAACATCCTCTTCGTTACAAACCATTTGACCATTATGGATATCTTCGTTTCTTTCTCACTGAAGAAGCTGTAAAATCTGCATCTCGGATCAAAGCATATTGTGGTGTTTGAGGTGCACAAATTATGTATGATGATAGTGTATGTACGGTCTCTATGATATGAATATATCACAAAGTTAAAATGTGTATGCGTATTTTGGTGACTACTTTATGTTGTGTGTTTGTGGAATAAAAATCTTAAGTTTCTTTAGCTTCCAAGTATTTATGTGAAAGAGGCTTGTCATAATGTACTATGTGATCGAACTTTAAATTAATCAAATTTTACTTATGCTATTAAATCTGTCAAGTTGTGTTGATCCCTAGAAAAATGTCACTAGGGTGAGGTAGTTCACTAGGCGTTGGCCAGAAAAGAATGGTTTGATAGGGTTTTTTTTTTCTTGATTTTAAAAGAGGGCTATGCATGAAGAAGTCTTCCACAGACTTTTTATGTCTCACATTCTAACAGAAACCAAAAAGAGAACAGTATAAGGAACTGATAGACTGGTTAGTGACAAATGGAAATTATGTAATTGAGTAACTTACCAGAACTCAACACTGATGTCACTTCAACATCATCGTTAACGAAATTAGATGGGTTACAAAAATAATTAACTTATTAGACTAGGTAAAAATAATAGAGGATTAAAATAAAATGAAAAAATAAGTTCCATAAGAAATTAAATAAAATTAGGGGATTAAAATATTATTTTATCAATAAAATATTTTAAAATTGTGAAATAAAAGTGTACAAAACAACATGTTTGTTATAATATAAGCTTAAATTTGTCAACTTTATGAATATAAAACTTGTAAATACTGCCTCATAATTCTTTAAAGATTCCACACTTAAGAGAGAGTGTATTTTAAAAGATAAGGTAAATTTATAACTATTAATAAGAAAGTTAATGATTAAATTGAAATTAAATACATTTGTATAATAAATTATAAAATTTAAATCTCAATCATTAATTTTTTCATTAGTAGTTATAATCGTATATTATCTTTTAAAGTAAATCATCTTGATTGCAGAGTTATTGTAGGTGGTCATTCAATATACAATGTATCATGTAAATAAAACTACAAATTACGAAGTTTATCATTTTTACTGCGTTTTAATTGTTGTGACGAGCTAATTAAATAAATAATGCAAAACTTGTTAAGCATCGGAACAATTATAAAACACTTTTATCACATTTTTACGTTAAGTGTGAAAAACTGAATGAATCCTAGCATTAACTTGCGCAACTGTAACGGTCACAGAAACTGAAACAATTATAGATCTCTAAAATGTTCAATTTTGCGAACAATCTTCTTGCTCCAGTATTAGAAAGCCACATATTATCTTGCTTACGGATAAATGCTTGTAGTTTCCAATGTAAAATAAAAATAAAATAATTAAACTCATCTTTAGTGTTAGTTTTAAACATTTAAACTTAATAAATGTCTATTAAAAATATCATTTATTAAACTTCTATATTTTTATGATTAATATTTTTTAATAAAAATTTATTGATTTTAATTACTTATCATAAGTTAACATTTTTTTAAAACAAAGTATGACTGACTTGCTCTTGAATGTTGCAAATAGTGACGCACATGCTTTTATTTTAGAAACTGTAATACAAAGATGCATGTCCATATGATCGGAGAAGAGAGGTTCACAATTACACACACCATATTGCAAACTTGAATACAAACATTGTTTTATGAAAATCCATAGGGACTGGGTAGAGGGAGCACTAGTGTAACTTAATACACATACAATCATTGATTAAATCTCAGACTCCACAATAAACCTTCAGAGCATTTTTAACACCCTCAGAAGAACGAAGAAACTCCATGAACTCACTGTGGACATAGGGCTTAAAAAGCAAAGGATGCTCCTCTGTCACAAGCTCTTCTGGGGCTTCTATTATGACCCCTTGTTTTGGAACTGTGAACACTCCAAGAGAGAACCTTGTTTCATTTCCAATCATCATCACTCGGTGAATGGGTGCATGCACTTTGCCATTTGTCCATGCCTGCAACGTATTTCATTAGGCTCTTGCATTAATGATCATATTTTAAAGTGTCACATATTTTTTAAGATCATTTTCTAATTTCCTAGAGAAAATGGAATGTTTATAGAAATTACATGAAGGGCGTCCCCAGCAACAACCACGAAGCTATTTGATGATGAGGGCTTGTATTTGATCCACTCTCCACTTTTAGTCTGTAACTCTAAACCGTCAATTTGATTTTGACACAATATGGTAAATGTGTTCTTATCTGTGTGCTCTAATATGCCAACTTTTGCTTCATTAGTTTGAGGGCCTTTGTACTTGATAAGCCGTGTCAGGTAATGTGTTGAGTCCATGTGTTGGTCCAAATATTTTTCAACACCTAAACTCTCCAGAAACATCTTCCTAATAATCTGATCCAACCTTGTCACTTGCTCTGTGAAGGATTGTATATTGTTGCTGCCAAATAATTACCAAAAAATAGGGGTGAAAAGGTATTCTATTATTGGATGTTTTTTTTTTCAAATTTGAAGTCATAAATAATTACATTTGAACATTTGAATCACCATATAACTTCATACATAAAAGCACCTTTATAATGTAAAAAAAATGTTCTATTTCATTTGTTATACTAACGTGAATGTGTGATATAAGATTTATATCTTGTAATATATACAATTTTTCATGTGTTAAAAAATAAACAATATATTATCAGTGTCTCTAGAGATATATCTTTTAATGTGCGGTGTGTGAAATAAAAACTTATTATTTTTAATGCATACCTGAAATTTGGTTTTCCTTCTGGCCATAAGATTTTGAGTGAACTTTCCACGTTCTCATAAACATCTGCATCCTCAATTCCCAAACTCTCATAGAGTTGATGAGGCCCAAGATAACCATGGTAGGGCCTATTACCATGCACCAAACGTTGCTTGGTTTGTAAAGGAAGATTGAAAAGCTCTTCCTGTTCTACAAAAATGGCTTTGAGGAGGTCCAAAGGGACTTTATCAAACATGGCCTCAAAGCAACCATATTCTACAAGTGCTTTGTGGACTTGGTATTTCACTGATTCCCACTTTGCTTCATTCAATTCCAAGTCTTGAATGGAGAAGTTGATAACTGGAAGCTCCACTTTATTTTCTGATCCCATTTTTTTCCTCTTGATTCCTCTTCACTTAGTTAATAGATCTGGGAAGAAGATACTTGGACTGGGTAGTTTGAATAGTGTATGCACCAATACAATCTTCCTGATTATTTGTGTGATATGCACATGAAAAATAATGACAGGTAATAGCAATATAATAACTAATAGTAGTGGGTAAGAAAAAATGATTATTTGCTAAGGAATAAGAAATCGTGTGGCATAAAAATTTGCTGTTTTGCATAATATCGATTAATGTGCTGATTTGTCGGACTAATTTTATGGACCCGTGGATTCTTTGTTAGAGCTTTTGTTAAAAACTTGGTAATGGGGTTTTATTTGAATGGAGAACCGGGCCCCGTTTTTTAATTTTAAATTATGTAAAATAGTTTTAATTAAAAAAAGTCCACATATATTCTTAAAAACATATATGATTCTTTATATTGGTTTAAAATTTAATTTCCTATTTTATATCCATTTATTATTTGATATATTATATAACATTGAAAATGTATACTTAATTATCGTTGATTAATTAAATTAACACTTTTACTAGTTAAACAGCTAATTTAGTTTTTAAAAAATTGTTATAAATAACTTACAAAAATATTAATAAATATTCTTAAGAAATTAATTAAAGATTAACAAAATTATGAAAAGTGCTACTTATACAACTTCTCATAATTTTGAAAACAATTTTATCAGAAATTTAATATTTTTTTTACTTATTAATTTCTTAAGCAATGCTTGATTGGCAACAGTGAGTAACTTATATCAACTTTCCATAATAGCCAAAAATGCAAGTTCTATATTATGTTGATATATATAAGCTGTTGCGACAAAACATCAGTTTCTTTATGGAGGTCTTTCGATCACTCAAATATTTCCGTACCATAATTCATATTACTATATTCCACTAAGTTAGAAATAAATGTAGTTAGTTGATTGTATATTTTGATTAATTACAGAATATACTCAATACATAAGCTACTCATCAACATGTAAAATACTGTATGCGACGTTTATTGGATCTTGGAAGCAAAATTTGTCAAAGATTATTGTGCTTGTCAATATAAACTCTCACAACCACTGCCATATCCAGATGAAATTTGGATCCTATGTCTAGTTTTACTCAACGAATTAACTTGGAATTTACTTCTTACATGTTTTTATGCACAATTTAACATATTTTTAAATGCTTAATCAAATAAAAGACAATATAACAGGACAACAAAATATTATCCTATTTGTTGAGATGTATTTTTGAAATACTATACACAAAGCAAATAAATAATACAATTTTTTTTTAATGTTGATTACTGGAACTCTGTCTGAATAGAATAAGTCATAACATACGAAAGATTTATGGAATATTTTCATGTATTTTTAATGACGAGTTATTGGGATTAAGCCAACATGAGAATGTCCAAAAGGTAAATGAACTGATTTGCTGAAATCATATTAAGCGTGAAATTATTGAGTGGTCCTAACGTATGTACTCTTAATTTGAGTTTAATTTTGTTAATAGATAATGACGCTGACGTGTCACGATAAGTTAATCAAAAGTTACAATCAAGTAGTTCGAATGTGAAACAGATTCTCTATCCAACAGGATGGGCGTTTTCCAGGGAATTGTTTGACTAGGAGGTAACGAGGGGATACCTTTTTTATTTTATTTTAAATATATTTAAAAATAATGTTTTTTAAAATATAAATATAAATTAATATATTAACATAAATTTAATATATTAATTATATATTTATTATTATATATAATTTTTTAATTTAAAATATAAAATATATAATTTTTTTATCATTTAACAAACTGGACTCGTAATATTCTTTTTAAGAGGAAATTTTTATTGATTTCTCTTCCTCCTACCTTATTACTCTTCTCATAAAGGATAATTATAGTGTTTATTTTCTTAAGATGATTAATTGTATTTTAGTTCTTTTTGTGCCTTTTGCTCTTGTTTATTATATATATATATATAAAAAAAATACTCTTTCCTAAATATATCTTAGGAGATGTTTAAAATACTACTAGACCAATTCGAGAGCTGTAAAATTATAAAAATTATATAATTTTTAAATATATAAAAACATTTTAATAAAAATATTAAATACATAAAATAATAAATAAATTATGTGTAAAATATAAGAAATATAATTAATAACATTATTAATGTGTTATTATTATATTAACAAAAAATAATATTATAGTCTTTATTTAATTAAGAATTTTATTAATTTCTTTTAATGTCTGTTATATAAAAAGAATTTATGTTTAATGCATTGAATTTTTTTTTCATAAAAAAGAATAAAGCAGCATTGTGTAGATGAATGCAACAAATGCTAGTGGTTCTGTCTTAGATTGAATAACATTGTCATGTGAAAAATATATCTATAGACTAAAAAAAATGAAAAAAATTAATAATATTTTTCTAAAGATAAAAGAATATATTTTTATATGACTCACGGACATTTTTATATAATCATAAGTAATTAAACGTTACTATAACTTTTAGCTACAATTATAAATTTCTTCTTACTAATGAAACTATAAGTAAAAGACATTGAAGACATTATGTGTGCTTTTACCTTATAGTTTGTTATGACTATCATACATTTTACCTATAAATTATTGTACATAGATATAAGTATTTATTTACTTATAATTTATTTTATTTGTAACGAAAAGTTATTGAATACTCTTACCCGCAATCTGTTGTTTCTGTAGGGAAAAGTTAATAATATATAATTTTTCAAAACAAAAACTTATTAATTTATAACTGTTGTTGCAAAAAAAAAAAAGGTAAATATCATTAAATAGAAAATTTTCATTTTATTAAAGTCATAATAATATTTTTAACAAATTTAAATATTACTAAATATATAATATTAATCATATTTATGAGTAAATTTCACATTGAATTTTTTAATTTATATTTTTCAATATATATATTGAAGAGCATTATTAATATTGAAGAAAATATTCAAATATAAAATATCTATTCAATAACTTAATAATGAAAACATTAATAATAAAGTTGAACTTAGATAAATATGTGAAATAATAAAACAATACAAATAAAAATGACATTTAAATTGTAGAAAGACATGCCTTAAGTTCTTTCTCACTTACAAGTTGCATTCTTCAATTGATTAGTATATACGCAAATGACATATAGCACAAGTTGTAGATAAGTAATGTATTTTTTGCTTTTGATTCACATATTTGTGGAAAGCCTTTCTATTACAATAAAATTCTTGATGTCATGTAACTATATCATGATGCACATACAAAATTATAAGAAAGTCCATGAGCTTCCATTTTATTTTTGTCTTTTAATTTCAATTACTCGTGAACCACCCATGAGCTACAATAATAATATCTTGCATTGTAAAATTGATGTTATTTACGACTCTAAAGATGATTATTGTAAAATTGTACCTTTCAATTACCCGTCGTACACTACAAATTATGTAAGATTAGTTAACATTTGCAAGTTGACCTTATGAAACAACATATATCAAACCATTATCTATCAGTGATCTCTCCCCCAAGTAACTAGATTTCTACCTAAACATAGTAGCTTGAGGTTATTACTGTAAACTTTCCCAAAGTTTCAAATAGAAAATAGAAACTATGGTAGTTAATTAAACTACTACACAAATGAAGTTTAACATTTTTATCAACTAGAGCTAGACATATATCAAATTAAAATTGTAAGTAAAACTCAAATTCTAATATAAGTCAGTCAAATGGGCAAAACAAAAGTCAAAAGATGCACTGAAAGCTCATAGAACTTTGACAATTACCAGTCCATAACTACTATAAATTACTAATAAAATATTGTATTGTGACATTTTCTAAAATTATTACTTACCAATCACTTAATTGGTGCCTTTTGTGCTCTATTTATTAACATTAATGAAATCATTGGGAGCAATTTGCAGCATCAAATACTTAAGTGAATTTTTTTTATATAAAATATCATTTCATATATATTTTTTTAAATTTGGAATTATAAAAAATTCATATCTCTTGAGCAATAACTTTTGAAATACTATTAATTTTTGAATTTTCTGAAAATCATGTTTGAATAACAAACATACTTTGCATTTTTAAAAATTAAAATTACATGTATTTTTAATTTTTTTTAAAAACTCTTTTTAAAAATGCAAACAAACATACTCTAGATTTTCAAATCAATTCTTTAATTTCTAAAGTCCAATATATGCATTAGAACTTTTAAAAAGAAACTTCAGAATTTGTTTGACATGGAAGCTTTCCAAAACAACGTAGACTCTCTTTTCAGGCCCTTTTATTTTTAAGTATATGTCATTTTTTATCTATAGGATCGTGTAGATTTCCTGCCTCTACCGTATGCTTCTTTAGTTCACTCTACACAAAATGCATTTAAAAAAATAAAAAATCAAACAACACATTTTCACAATGCTCCCATCTTTTTTACCTCAATTATCAATATAAATTTTAACCAGTGAAGATTGCATCCTTTTGACTTTTATTGTCTAACATTAGTAATAAAAATGTTAAACATCCTATTAATTAATTAAATTAATTGTTAGTCCCATTTTAAATAAAATAAAAAAATTGATATAAGACAATAGTATGAATTAAATTATTAGAATAACATTATATAATGTCACAACCGGGCGGTCGCAATGGTACGGCCAAAAACGCTTTCAAAAATATCAGAGGAGTCGCTACCAAAATTTATTTTAAGAAAAAACCTTGGAAAAACTTAGATATAACACGATCTTTGAAACCAAAAATGAGTTCGGGAGTCATTTACATGTAGGGAAGGTATTAGCACCCTACAACGTCTGTTTAAAAATGGTTACCTAAAATTAATTGTGCAAATTCATTCTAATTTTGAAAAATATTTATTTAACCCCTAAACATTAATTATTTTATTTTAGAAGAAGAAATATTATTTATTGAAATATTATTTGGATTATTTTAAAAATTATTTTGACTTGAA